TAAAGTCCAAATGTGACTGCCTGTGTTTAGGTGACCCAGGAAAGGACAAGTAAGTTATTTCCCCTGCCAACACACAAACACACATCAATGGTGAAATAGGAACAGGGTAGCTGTAATAAAAAGTTCTCTTTAGAAATAATATTGTGCTGGGCAGAAATTTCAGAGACCTCTGTCCAGGCAATAGATGACTATACTTTTCAGGGTTAGCCCATCCAACAGTCTCTGGTTTCTCTTTCATCTCCATGGCTACTGGCTTTGTTTTCTTGGAAGTCCTTCCTTGTCCATTAGCCTCCTCGACCACATCTGAATTGGGCATTGGAGAGTCTGCCCTTCTTGGGGCTATAAAACTTTCACATCCTCTTTCTTTTGCTGGCTCAGGTTTGGGTGCTTACATCTGCACTGTGCTCAGAGAGTCAGGCTTTGGCAAGCTAGGTTTATGGTTTCTCTGGTAAAGAATTTCCTCAAACACTTAATGGGCTTCCAGTCTTCCTTCTGGTCAGTTTCTGAGTGAGAACTGTATCCAAGGATTTCATTTAGACGTGAAGATCTGGTTTCAATTATTAGCTGCTATGCTCTGCACAACCTTTTTCAACCTTATGGTGGTGTTTATGAGTTGAATTGTGCCTCTCTTTCCCCAAAATATGTTTGATTCTTAAGCCTCAGTACCTCAGAACACAATCTTCTTTGCAGACAGGATCTTTACAGAGGTAATCAAGTTAAAATGAGATCATTAGGGTGAACCCTAATCCAATACAACTAGTGTCCTTATGAGAAAGGAAGAATAGAACAAAGACATGCACGCATGGAGAATGTCATGCGCAGATGAAGGCAGAGATGAAAGTGATGCATTCACAACCCAAGGAGTGCAAAGGTTGCCAATAAACCACCACATTCTCCCCGACAGGTCTCAGTAGAAACCATCCCCGCCAATACCTTGATCTTCAACTTCTAGCCTTTACAACCATAAGACAATAAATAATCTGTTGTTTAAATCACCCATTTTGTGGTACTTTGTTACATGCTCTGTCATGCCCTAAAATAAGGGTCTTGAATGGTAGGGCAACACCCTTAGTCTGATCTATGCTGCTGGTTTGATTCTCGTTGTCTAGTCCAGAATGTTTGGAGAGGTACTTGTAAATACTTGGGGCCACCGAGTTCATTCAGGGCAAACTCTTCTTACTACTTCAGTGTGGAGGTACAGGCAGTTACTGGGAGCCACCAAATTATTAGGCTTACAAATATTTTACATTCTCTGCCACAGGTTGAAATTCTCTGCTATCATTTTAGACTGTCTGTCCTTTCCTTACCAGAAATATGTTCCTTTCATTTCTCTTTGCAGACAAGCTAGATCTAGATCTAGTTCATCTTTCTCCTGTGAAGCTTTGCTGAAAATAGCAGAAGCAACCAGCCTACACTATTATGAACTTTTCCAATGATTTAACCTATAGCTACAGGCTTCATCAGCATGTAATCTCTCTTCCAAGTTTTTTTTTTTTTAGCAGCAATTTATCAAATGTTCTGTCATTGAATACAGGGTCTCCAGTTTTCCACACTGCTATAGCTGCCCTCATCATCTGCAGTTTGGTCTATTAAGTCAATAAAACATACATAAATATCTAAGGCAGCACCCCACTTCTATATTTTATATTGGTCAGAGTTCACTGGCAGAGAACAGAATGCATTTTAGCTAGTTAAATCAGAAAGGGATTTAGTACAGTTTCAGTTATCGCTTGGAGAATTAGTTGGAGGACAGAAGAAGTAATCAAGGAATGCTTTCAGGACAGTTCAAGAGAGTGGGGCCACCAATACTGTTACTCTGATAGCTATTGGAAAACCACCAAGGTCATAAAGTAATCTTGAACTAGGCGGGGGATTGGGAAATAGAAACCTGTGGTAGAATTACAGAAGCATCAGAAGCATGACTTCTTCCTTGCAAACATCTTGCAGGTACATCTGATTAGCAGGATCCAAGTCAATTCAGAGTTCTGGCTATCAGTGTATGGGAAATGTCTGCTGCTCTGAGCAATGATGTGCCCAGCTGAAAATTAGGGGTCCATTTCTATGAGAGAACAAGCGGGGAAGGAGATAAAGAACAAGTAGTTAGATTGTGAAGGTAAATATATTAGGGTTGTTTCTGAGGTAGAGCAGGCCCTTAATAATGGACACATTTATGCAAACATACCAGTAATACAAATTGCCCCTTTAAGAGAGAAAATGTGGTATCAGAAATATAAGATCAGTTTTGTAAAAGGCTACCTATGTCACGATCACTGCACTTTTGCATACTCAAGTGCAATACAGTGTTCTCTGAGCTTGAATAATTATGAATGTAACCTTCTGGTTAACAAAGATCATTCTCTTGGAGGAGTAATTGACCTTAAAAATCAAAGGTCCTGATCCAATTGAATTCTCTTACATTTTGTTCTTTTTCAAGTGGTTTTACCTCCCCATGTCCTCTGATACCCATGCTCCAAGGAAATAAGGGCTTTTAGATGTGTATCAAGTCTTATTTCATCTCATTAAACATTTCAGTCTTAAACCTAGATTTATAAAATATGTTTCAGAGCAGAAGTCAGCTTGGTGGGCTGTATAGTATCTGCTGTAGTTTCTCAGTAATGACATGGTACTGTGAAAGCAGCTATAGACAGTACATAGATTAATGAGTGTGCCTATCTTCCAAGAAAACTATATTTACAAAAATGGTGGGAGACTTAATTTGGAATGTGAATTGTCATTTGCCAACCCCTGTGTTAGATAATTGCATGAAATAAAATTTTTTTATTTTAAAATAATTAAAAAAATTTTTTTTGGAGCTTGTCAGAGAAGCTGTTTTGTTCAGGGTGAGTTCCATATACCTGGTCGAATACATTACATGTCTCTTTTAAATTTGAAGTCTAGATGAAAAGCTTACTTCTCTATATTCAAATTATTTGGAGGAGGGACCTATCTGTTGTCCTATATGCTATAGTTACTTTGTAAATATAATAATAATAATGCATACCTTATGGGGTTATCAGGATTAAAAGAGTAAATATGTGTAAAATGCTCAGTACTGTTCCTGGTCCAGAGTAAGCTCTCATTAAAAGTTCCAGATGATACATTTATTTTTTTGAACCTGCAATTTTGCTTTTAGTAGCATTCCAATTTGATAGACATAGGGTGCATTTTTTTGTACATTTTTAAAAAAGATTTTATTTATTTATTTTTAGAGAGGGGGAAAAGAGGGAAAAGGAGAGTGAGAGAAACATCAATGTGTGGTTACCTCTTGAACGCCCCCTACTGGGACCCGGCCTGCAACCCAGGCATATGCCCTGACTGGGAATCAAACTGGCAACTCTTTGGTTCTCAGGTTGGCTTGGCGCTCAGTCCTCTGAGCCATACCAACCAGAGTGTGATAGACATAGGGTGGTTTTTAATTATCCCAACTTGTAACCAAGAGAAACATGACAACTGATGAGAACAAAAGGCAAAGAAACAAAAACCATCCTACTGGACATGTGTGATGTGATGACCTTATGTGGCACCCCCTTACACAAAAAGAAAAACCATTAATTTTGTCTTAAACATGTTCTACTGGGTTCCGTGAGAGACTATGAGGAACTGTCAAGCAATGTAACCACACATGAATCCTAATGGTAAGAGATGCTAATTTCCTTCTTTTCTGAACATGGCATGAGAACCTGTTCCTTTCCATCATTAAACAGTATAAACCTTCTGGGCTGGGATTAGGCTTTGTATTTCTGGGCCCCACTGCTGTACACACGAGTCTGACAGAGAGCTATGAAACACATTGAGTTTTGTGGGGGTTAAGAGCCCCAGTTTAAGAGTCCAGCAGACTGGACCAAATTCCAGTTCAGCTACTCAGAAATTGAATAGTTTGCCTTAAGGTAACTTTCTATTGAATAGTTATTATTGGCCAATTATTGTGGTCTTTGTTTTCATATAAATGGAAAATAAGTCAAGATAGTTGTGGGAAAGTGCTTTGTATAAAGTTTTACACACTATGTAGTTCACTGAATCCACTTAACAGCACCCCTCAAGGTAGATGTGTGTTACATGTGAGATGATAATGGAAAAAAGTAATCACCAAACAAATTATTCCTTTTAGATATAAGCATTGAGGTAAGATTTTTTTTTAAAAAAAAAATCTGCCAATACTACTAGCAAGTGGGGTGTGGTGATTCTTTTAGTGATGCTGATTTTAAAATTTATTACATATTATTTATTCTCATTGCAAGTCTATCAATAATGACTAATGATGTAGCTAACATTGCATCCCTACTCTTGGTTTTCAAACTACATATCCTAGTAAATATAATTTGCAAACACCTGATTTTTAGAATTCAGATTTGCCAAATATCCTATCAGACAGGTGACTTCAGAGCCACTGGATGAACTGTAACCTCCAAACAGATAAAAACCAGAACTCTTTGTGAGTCTGCTAAAACCACCAGCCACACCTCTCCTCTTCTCTACTTTCAAGGTTGTCCCTCATCTGAACTCCCTTATCTAGGAGGATGATTGGTACTGTGGTTGTGACTTTGTTTATATGCATTCTCATAGAGCGCTGTCAATGCTAAGTCAGGAAAAGTGGGTGGCAAAAGGTCGGGTCAAACTCGGCACTGGCGCCTCATCTCATTTCCCTTTCGGTCCGGGGAGGGTAGTGCACTTGCTTGCTACTAGATCTTGATAGCTGAGGAGAGTTTACGCCAGCGCAACCCCTAGTGTCAACATTCCTTCCCTCTTTGTGCTGTATTTTTCCCGGCTGTAATTGGCCGTGGAACACCCCGCCCGAGCTGACCTCACGGCAAACTCCACACCCTCGGGTAACACTGGCCAGTTTCCCCCAGCTCACACCCACGCGGAATCGTTCCATTTCCAGGAGACCAATCAGCACTCCGCACGCTGCCAAGCCAGCCAATGCAAGCAAACACACGCTGCTCGGTTAAACTTCTGCTACGAGCCCCTCGGGGCGCCGGGTTCGAGGCGGGGGCGGGGGGGGACGTGCCTGGAGTTTCGGCCCGCCTTCCCCTGAAGAACTTGGTACCTTCCAATTGGCCGCGACGTGCAGTGGCTTGACGCCAATTGGCTGCCACCTTGTGCTGCCCCGACGGACGGAGATGCTTAGAATGCTTTAACGCGTCAGGGTAGCGGAGAGCGGTGAGTCGAGTCGCACCGTGCGGTTGCTGTCTGGCGTACCACTCATCGCTTCTGCTCAGGTAGCTCTGGGTAGATGCAGGGGATTGCAGCGGAAGTGAGGCGGCTTGGAGGGAGGGCGACAGGCGGGCGTCCGGGGCGCCCACCCTGGTTCGTTTTCCCAGAGCTGTTGCGGGGAGTGGGGTGGAGGAGGAGGCCCTGAAGGGCGTAGATTGCGCACCACGACCTGGGGGTGGGTGTGGACTTAGCCGGTGAGAGAGAGAGAACAGGCCCGGGGAGGGGAGGGGGCGATCCGGAAGTAACGTAGGGCTTGCACCTTGTCTCTACACTGCTCACCAGGTTCAGGCTTTGGACACTGCTTAGGCCTGAGTCTCTAAATTTGTTAAATGGGGCAAGGGGTGGTAATGACCTCGCTTCTAGACGAGTTCATGTTCATTGAGGTCATGTTCTGTGAAGGGCATGTGCTTCCTGGTTTTTAGTAAATGCACAGACAACATAGGGTCTATCCTTTCGCACTAAGCATTGACTAACGTGACGTTGGTGATAAGAGACAGCTTTTCCAAGTGCTTACTGGACAGGGTGGGGCAGAAATAGGTTTATAGTTGTGAGTAAGCGAAACACAGTTTATTCTTGTACTATTATTTATTAGTTATTGTATTATTTTCTTTATGAACAACTGTAAACCTTTTGCCCCTCCCTGTATCTTAAAAGTTCCGTGCTAAGTGTGTAAACTCATATAATTGCTCAATAAATTAGTATTACTGTTATCCTTAATTTACCATTAAGAAGATTGATCTATTTTGAGTTTAGAAGCCAGGACAAAATATGACAGATTCAATATGATATCAGATTTTTAATGTAAAGTCTGTTGTAGCCAGTGATTAGCTTTTCAGCGTTTTGCAAAATAGACTTTTAGCCTCTGATTGCAGAAACCTTCGGTTGAAATTCTGGCTCCATCACTTACTAGCTGTATGATCTTGGACCAGTGACCTAATTTCCTTATTGCTCCTTTTCCTTTCTGTAAAATAGCGATAATTATAGATCAGCTCTTAAGGTTCTTTATGAGAATGAAATGGAATAATGCAATGTAAAGTAGCCAGAAGACTGATCACATAGTAAATGATCAAAGAACATCAGCTATTATTTTAAATGAAGGATTAGGGCATTAGGAACGTGAACATTTACTGGGATGTAAACGTAAAGTTGTGATATCCTTAGAGTTTAATATTGCCTAAAATGCCGTAAAAAGTCTCAATGTACTAAAATAAGCCAAAGTGATCACTAAAACAGAGGAACATTAGTTTTAATTGCAGAAGTGAGCTTCCCTGTTGCATATCTGCTACAGCCATTTTCAGAATGAGAAACTACTGAATTTTACTGAGTTGGAAAAGCTAAATTACCAATTTCAAGATTGAAATTACCAATTCAAGTGGAAATCATGCATATGCAGACATTTTTGTTAGGTAGAAAATATAATTTAATTTACTAGGCCTTGGTTTGCACAGCAGTTTGGGGGGAATTCTAGGGTATGTTAAATTGAAACTGCTCACATAAATGAAGCTTGTATCTATTGGTTACTGGAAGGTCGATTTTGGTATGAGCTCCTTTAACAAGGGAATTCTGATTTAAGCATATTACATAAGTACAGATTTTTATGGCATTCACTTTTTATTAGAGATTGAGATGTTTGTTATGTCCTATACATAAAATATGACCTATGACCATTTCACTGTGACATATACTTGATAAAAATTGGGGGTATATTAATCAAAAATTATGGTGCTTATAGAAAAATTTTAACTGAGAAAGGCTGCCCACTCTATGATGGCACCCACTGTCTGCACTAGTGATCACTTCTGAAACATGGACATAGAAAACGTGAACAAAAAGGTTAAAGTAAGGAAAGAATGAAGGTGGACATTACTCAGCACTGTGTAATAAAACCGTCAAGAGCATATAATCTGTTAGATTCTGATAAGGTTAAGTGGTACGTGTTCTCTCTGAAATGTAACTGGTAGATTTGGAGAGTTTCCTGATATAAGGTTAAGAAAGAGAATAAAATAATTAGTAATAGGGAGTTCAGAGTGGCATTTAAAACATTTTCCTGACATTGTCCACAGATGGAGATTGCAGTAGTCCTAAAACATGGTGTGCTTTTCTTTCGATTAACATGAATGCCCTACCATATTTGGAGAGTGCCACGACCTTGATAACTCCGATAATGCCCCTTCTTGGTTCTGGAAGATATTTCTAGTGATTCTCTGACACTCCTTCCCACACAGAGAGAGTTTGGACAGGAACCATTATTCTCCTTTGGATTTAATCTTGATGAACAAAAATTCATGCACAGATTATCTGCCTGGTTAACTACTTAATTGGCTAACAGAGAGCTTTCCAAGTTTCTGCTTTGTTCTGTTCCTTTCCTGCTTCCTACTCCATCACCCTTAAAGTGACACGATGGACAGGAGTTTTAATTTTTGTCATTGCAGTTAAAAGTTGACTTGAACAGTGGAATAAATAAACTCTGAGAGCAAAAACTGGATTCTATCCATTTCTGTAGTTCTAGGACCTGGTATATAATAGATGCTTGGTAAATAAAATAGTAGACCTTTGGGAAATTGTGTTTCATTACAGTAATGGAAGTTTTAGTCATTCAAAACTTAAAGGTGATTAGCATAAATGGGTCTGCCTTAGATACCTTGAGGTCTTCCATAAACAAGACTGGTCGCTCACTGTCCACCCATTGTTTTTTCTACTTTAAATATTCACTGGGTTCCTACTGCATGCTACACATAACATCAAACAAGTCACATTTCCTGCTCTAAAAGATTTACAGTTAAATGGAAGAGGATGACATAATTACATTACAGAGTTGCTGTGAGAAAACATTGGAGGAGGAACTAACATAGTCTTTAGGGGAATCCAGGAATGAACAGTAGAAATTAGGCAGTGATGCTTGGCCAGTTCATAAAAGAGCTCATAGGCCATATTAAGGAGTTTGGACTTTATACTGATCCGTAGGAGTGAATAATTCCTGAGGTAAGCACTGTAAAGATTCAGATTCTTATCTTTATAGGTACTTTCTATTGCTTACATTTTGTGTGCTGGATTTGCACAGAGTTAATGTTGTTTTATGGTAATAGTAGCTTTCTACTTCACCTTTGATTTCTATCAAATGTTTTTGAAAAAATTCTCTTATCTGCCAACCACAGGAACCTGGCAGGTGGCCTTTGAGTTTAAAGAATATCGTTTAATTATAATGATTCCAGTAATAGATAAATGAAATTTCTTTTGGAAGTCTTCTCTAAGAATTTATGCTTGTTTGTAACATATTCTTGAATAAGGTCATTGTACTGGCTATCAAGTTGGCTGTCTCTTGAGTGGAAATGGGATATATTCCTGACAGACTTTTTGAATGAGCTCATTCACTTTTAGTCTGTGGGTAGGACCTGTACTTATTATACACTTGGCACCACTTACATAGATGCTAAATTTTCTATATATACTGTATAAAGTGTATACTTTCCCATGTTCCTGAAGGGACATGCCACCCCAAAATATGCCACTTGGAATACGGATTTGAGCTGAAGGCAATTAAGAAGCAGCAAATGAAAAAAAGTTCTTTCTCCTCCCGCTATGTGCCTAAAAGTAGGACATAAATTTTCCTTTGTGAAGTTCTCCTCAGTCCCTTCTCCTACACCAGGAAAAGGACAACTCTCATTACTGGAGTCGAAAAGTTGGCATCGAGATGGTCTACACAAACAAACTGGACTAAAATAACCCTCCCTTCTGTTGTTTTCTTCCATATATTTACTTCCCATGATTTACCACCCCTAGAAGCACAACCCCTTTCCCCCTGTCTTTTTAATTCTCCACAATTTATCACCCTTTATTAAAATGTAAGTTTCTTTGGGTCTCCACTTCTTTTCTTTGAAGGCCTCTGTGCAGGTAAAAATTAAAAATGTTAACATCAAATAAGAATTATTTACCTTTCTCCTGTCTTGAATCTATCTTGAATCAGTTTAATTCACACATTCTGGAGACAGAACCTTAAGAGAGTAGAGGAAAAGTTTTTTCTTCCCTGACATTTCTAGATCATTTTAGTGTTTATCTTTTTTAATGGCTTATATGCTCTGTGTTATGCTATTTAAATATTGACTAGAGCATTGACTTATTTCTGTCACCTTTAGTTTTTCGATCAGTGGTTTTCCACTCTGGCTGGATAACAGAAGGATCGGTGAGACTTTTTAAAGGACCTAGATTTCAGAACAAACCAACCGAATCACACTATTTAGCAGTGGGCCCTGAAATCTAACATTTAAAAACAGTGTCAAAGAAAACTTGAGGCAGGTAGAAGTTAAAGTGGTAAAAGCAAATCTTAATCAAGAACTATTGCAGCGGGGAAAAGGAGCCTCAGTATAGAACTGGGCTTCCTTCTGGATACAACAAGGGTAAATGGAAATTTATAGCCAAGGAGCAGGGTAGGCGTCACCAGATGGACACTTACCAAGAGGCAACTCCGGGGGTAAGGGGCATTCTGGCTAAATTAACTTGATAGGATCCTTGCTGAAGGCAGGCCAGGGCGGTAAGACTGAGGGTGGGATGAGGGATTTTTGAGGGTGGGGCGTTTTCACTGAATTAATTTAGCAAGATTCTTGCTAAAACTGAACTAAGGCGGCCAAGGACAATCCCAAGAGGTAGGCCTAGTCAAAAACAGGACTCAGAGGGGACTAAGCGGGGAGTGTTTGTTAATAGCTACTGGAAAATATAACGGTGATGCTGATGTATGCATCTGTAGTTGAGAACTGAAACCTTATTTTCATAGAGGCTTGGTATTTCATTGAACTCTTTTCTTGATTTATTTTTTTAGTAGCTTGAAAGGGCCTTCCCCCCAAATTCTTTTCTCCTTTAGGCTTTTCCTGGAGCATACCCATAGCACAAAAAGAGACAGAGTTACAAGCAAATAATTCTTGTTTTGAAGCAAACACACTTCAACAAAGATTAGGGGCCTAAAGTGTTACAGTGATCGTTCCAGTTGGTGAGGATAGACTCGTGGGTAAGGCAGGCAGGGGCCGCTGCTCTTCTGATGTGATGGGCGAAGCGTAGAATACAGTATATGAGTAAATGAACAATTGAATTTCAGGTACTGATAAGCACGATGAAGAAAATGAAAGAAGGCTATAATAGTGACTTAATGGAAGACTATATTAAGGGCAGAAGGTGCAAACTGAAGAATGGTCATTATACGTTGTTGTTGGTCACAGTCAAGTTTGGATCTAGAGTGATCCAGGCCCAGCTTGGGGCCTGAAGGTGACAAGCTTGGCCTAAGTGAGGAACAGAAAGAAAACTGGTAGAACAAGGACATTTCAGGTCAATGGATAAAGGGTTGTGTTTAGGAATCTCTTCATTCCTATTAAGGGTGATTTCAAGGTTTTAGACTTGGAGCATCTGGCTCAATTACCCTTTTAATAGGCTAATTGTTAAGTTGGGAAGATCTCTGAGGCAAATTGAGGGAAGCTGCCTGGCCCTTTCTAACCTCACCCAGGAAGTCACGCAGAGTCACAGGCTCTACCTCTTGATGAGAAGTGTGTCCAGCAGCTTGCAGCAGTGTTTTAAAGCCATCTCATTACAGAATCCCTTATATTAAGTTTGGTATCTTCGAAGATTAGTAATCCTTTGCCTTTAAAAATAATGTTGAATAGTACCTTGTTTGGAATTATTAATGATTAGCAGTTTTCTTTATATAGTTAATATTATTCGCTTAAAATTATGAACTATTTATTTTTGCTGTACTCGTGGTTCTAAAATTCTTCATAGGACTACCTTCTCACACTGTTACCTACCTGAATCCTGTAACATTTCCGCAAGTGCAATAAAATATTGAAAACATTGGGGCTCTGAAAAATTTTGAAAACGTTTGGAGCTCTGTAGCCTTATCTTTAAAGGATGAAAGAAGAAGTTTTCAGTTCTAATTGTCATTTGTTTGCTAGAATGAGTCCTAAATCTGTTGGATGGTAAAATAAAAATTTTCAGCAGCGGAAATCTTGAGGAATTTTTAAAGAGTTTATGACTTGTGTATTATTTTTGTACTTTGGAAATAGCCATTTTTTTTCTTTAAGTGACCTAGAATTTTATAATTTATTTTCTTTTTATTAGATTTTATTAGAAAGGGAAAATAGGATTGTATTTTTTTTTGTATGAGTGGTTTTAATAACTTAAAATATGCGATTCTCATTCCTGACTATGTGTTATTCACCTTGGGAGTGTTTAGGAAAAAAAACCTATGCTCAGTTCCTATTCTGAGAGATTTTGCTTAGTTGATTTTGAGTGGGGTCCAGGTATAGGTATCTTTAGGTAGTTTTTATAGCTCCCCAGGTGATTCTATTATGAAGCCGCATTTGAAACCCATTGCCCCAATGCATCAGATTGTGGTGTTTGCTGATGCTAATCTTGGTGTCTGTAACAGGGGAAAAAAAGCAAATGGAAGGCCTGCCTGATGCTGCTGCTTTTGCAACTGAACTTAAAAACACTCTCATCCAGTACCATAGCATCGAAGATGATAAGTGGCGAGTTGCGAAGAAAACGGTAAATTAATTCAATTACTTATATTTGGGTTGTGTCTTCTATCTAATGAATAGGTTAATGACTTTCAGAATAGTAAGGAAAAATATGGACCATACCTCAGATGGATGTGCAGGATAGATAATTTTGCTAATAAAGTGTGTGCTTTTAGCATGTTATAAAGGAATAAACATAGTAATCCTGTACTATTTTCATTAGTTCATTAGATATTGGACGTGAGAATAGATTCAATGGCAACAAGAGCCTAAAGACTAGCCTCTTAAGTGAACAAATAAAATGTATCATTGTCAATTTAAGGAAGTATGGTAATTGATAGTTTGGAATAGTTTCAGATATTTCAACAGGTGTTTGAGGGTCGTCAGTTAGTAGCTTTTTTTACCAGTCTAACTTGCCCCAGCTATCACAGGGCTCAGTGTTGAGAGAGCTAGCCTTACAGTCCACGACTGTTCCAGGTAAGTGCTTTAGCTATTCCGATGTTCAGAGTTTCTTGGGAAATGATCAGAAGAAAAATGTAGGGACTAAGGCAGCACTGTCAATGACGGATGTGAATTGTTTAATATTTGAAAAGATATGAGCAAGTTCAGAATGAAGTATTTAGCATTTCTAATGTCTTAGTCTAAACGGGTCAGTAGATGAGATTGAAATAAAGCAAATAATAATGGCCAATGCGGTAGTGCCGTCGCTGAATCTTTACAGTGTTTGGGTCACACAGTAAACTACTGAAAAATCTTTTTTGGAGGCCTGTAACAAAGTAAAATATGAAGAACTTTAGGATATGGAAGAAATTCAAATGGGGATCATTTGATGGTATCAATAACTTCTATGCATCTCTGAATATTTACTTTAGTTTTAATGCAGAGACTAATGCTCAAGACTTATGGAATTGTCGGTTTTATATCCTGGGTTCCACTTATGTAATTATCACCATGTACTATTTTTATTCTTCTAGAGAGATGTCACAATTTGGAGAAAACCTTCAGAAGAATTTAATGGATATCTGTAAGTAAATTCTAGCTCTCAAGACATTGCTAAACGTTTTATACATACATTCACGCACACACACAGACACACACATTAATGATCACTAAATGATCATTACCAGTAACATTGGGCCTTTACTTTTAAGATTTAAACTTTCTGAGAACCAAATCACCTTAATGAAGTAAAAGCCTCTTCAATTTCCGTATCCCATAGGGACTGAGTTGGCGAGAGGGTCATAAATAATGGTATCAAATGACATGAGATCTTAATTTCTTAGCATAATTATAAGATCCTTCTAATATTCTTTTACACTTACTCAGTGCTGTAGCATACTTGATGCTAAGAATTTATCTTGAAGAAATCATCAGAAAAGTAATAGATAAGTACTTGTCTTTCTCTCACAGCATTGGTGATGACATAAAAATGATAAACGACTTGAATAATCAACGGTTGGAGAATGATTAAATTATGGAACATAATGTGATATTTTACAGTTTTTTAAAAACACATTTTCAAAATTATTTAACCCTATTCCACTTGCCCTGGCTTACCAGCCTGCCTCAACGGGATTTCCGATCCCAGTTCCTAGCCATATGCGTCCTTTCATTAATCCGTTCCTCTTGAGGCAAATCAAGTATAGGGAAATCAGTCTTAGGATTTTCAACATATTCAACAGATGATGTCATCTGAGAATAAAGGACATGTTGGACTCCTCTTCTTTGGTCTGCCTCCTCCTCCCCAAACCAATCAGTACCTGGATATGGCTCTTTCCACTCAAATCATGCTGCAAAAGTGGCTGTAAAGCAGAAGTTTTATTCCAGGCTTTCAAAGATATATGACCGGTGACTCCACCCAATGAGAGCAAAGTGCGTCTTTCTCCAAAAATTCTTCTTCATAGAAACTTGTATTAGCCCTGGAGCACCCCACCTTTGGAACACTAAATCCTTCCTGTCAGTTCCTGGATAATCTTTGTGCTATGTGACACTCTAAATAAATATTTTACATTGCCAGTGGAAGTGAATTCCCTAGCAGAATTCTGACTTCATTATTCTGTTTTTTTTAAGCACCCAATTTCTTTTTCATGCTAACAAATTCCCATCTCTTGCCTTTCAATAATGACCAAAATTGAAACCAAAATGGAGGCTTTGCCTTGAGAAACCCTGTGGGTAAGATTCCCATATGTTAAGATATCTGCCCTGAATCCCTTACTAAATATCTTTTGAGTACTGAATCATTAAGAAGGCGCATGTGTACCTTGGATTACCCCCGTCTGGCCTTTATTACTTCCCTAAGACGGAGCCAGAGGGACTGCGGCCTCCTCTTGGGGAGAGGGCAGTGCCCAGGGCAAGTCATCAAGAGTACCCCTCCCCATTCCTGTTTGTGTCCCAGTGAAATGTTAGTGTGAATACCCAGGGGGAAGTTTAAGAAGAAAAAAAAGGAAATGAGACAAAAGCTCAATATGCAGGCTTTCCCACAGTGCAAAGAGGCCAGACCACTTCCTTTTTTTTTAAGCTACTGGTGTACATATTTTTAAACATGAAAAAAATTTGAGACAAAGGTTGCCGAATATTTACCTTTAGCAGAAGAACATTTGCACACATATACACACAATGGAATGCATACAGTTTTATTTGACATCAGTGTCAAAAGCAGAACTCCATGCCTGTGAAGTCAGGCAATTCCACTTCCCTCCTCCACCTGCTCCTGCCCCACCTCCCAGTGCATCACGCAATAGGGCTCTGGAAGGAGGGGAGGGAAAATCGGGTACTCGTCCCACCAAATAACTACTATTATTTTTTCTTGTTTATCCTTGTGGATATTTTTTATGTATGAGTAAGTCATATAGACACATTTTTTTCACCCCCACCTTTTTTTTATTTTTTAACATACACGACAGCCTGCTTTACACACAGGTATGGTACATGTATTTGAATTTTTCTGCATGATTTTTCCATATTGATTCATTAAGAACTCCATTCTTTTTTACAGCTCAAGAGTATTTCATTGCATGGGTTTGTCACAGTTGATTAAATCAGTTACCTTTCGATAAACATTTAGGTGACTTACAATCTTTGGCTATTACAAACAAAGCCTTATAAATAATCCTTGTATGCTCAGAAATATCCCTTGAACAATGTGTTATTTCCCATATGCAGGCATATCTTCCTAGGGTCAAAGGGTATATATATTAGTAATTTGGATAAATGCTTCCAAATTGCTCTTAACAGAAATTGAACCACTGTATAATCCCACCAATAATGCATGAGACTGTTTTTGCTGGTCAGTTAAGTGAAAAATGGTTTTCATTGTAATTTTAATTTCTTTTATAATTCGTATTAAAAACTGTTAAGAGCTACTCATTCTTTTCCTTTAATAAATTCTCTGTGTAGACATTTGCAACTTTTTCTATTGGGTTGTTGATAATTTCTGGCTAATTTATTGGGTGCATCCTTATATATTAGGGTGATATAAATTGTGAATATTTTTCCCATTCTGTCATTTATCTTCTGACTTTGCTTATGATTTTTTTTAAAAGAGTATTACATATTTTTAACAAATTTATTTTTTGTGTAGTCAAATATATCAATATTTTAAGGTTTTTGGATTTTGTACATTTCTAACTTTGTTAGATAGATCTAATTTATTTTGAGGTTGTAAGAGATTTTTCCATGTTCTAGTCTAATATTTTAATAAATTTTTATCTATATTGCTGTTGTAGAGGAAGAAAAATAGTTTTACTTTTACCTTTCTGAATTTTTGACTCCTATATGAAAGAGAGATTAAGAAGAGAAAGACAAGAAAAAAACATTGTTTAAAAACATAAAGAAATGATCACCATTTAACTTAAAGTGAGTCCAGTGAAGATTTAACTGTATAGCACAAATATTAGTTGATTTTATATATCTTTTGTTTTCATTTAACACTAAATATATATCTCCGTATGGCAATTTAATGGGTGATTTTTATTTCCATTTTTTGGTATTTGCATGTAGTTGAACATGAATTGTCCCTTTAAGCAAAGAAAATCTTTTTTTTTCTTTTTTGAATGCATATCTTCTTTATTCATTAACACCAATCCTCAAGGTTTTTTTATTTTTTATTTTTTTAGAGCCAGTGGGGACAATTGCGTTGTGCAATTGGAGTGGAATGTTCACGTCCTTGAGGCTCAGCCCTTTTTAAAATGAAACTGGGGTCTCGCCCTCCTTCTTATGTACAGAATGTTCTGAAGTGTAATATCAGAGATAGCGTTTCCAGAAAGATGAGTTATACAATATTGATGATGAAGACAGGGAAACTGGAGTTGGATTAATCATTGTAAGCAAGGGTGGAAAGTTAATCCTTTAGATAGCAATTCCCACTGGGGACTGAGAAGTGTACAAGGTGCAAAGGGAGCATTGTGCTTGGTGATTTGAAAGGACTTCATAGAAGAGCTAATATTTAAGCTGAGTCTGAAAGGAGAAATAGATGTTTCTTAGAGAATAGAGGATGGATTCATATTTCAGGCAGAGGAATTGCATCTACTACATAAACACAAATGGGAAACACTTCAGAAAGTTTGTTCAGGGAGATAGAAGTTGTATTTGTGTAGCTGGAACATAAATTATGAGGGTATGGGGAACATATATCTGCAGGAGTTTCAAATGCTAAACTAAGGAATTCAGTACGGCACTTACCCTCCCAGATCCTCGAAGGGTTTTACATGCACTCTAATCACATTGTGAAATGAGCATGGAGAGTTCAGAGAAAAGGTTTTACCCTGGGAGTCCATGGCTGGCTTCATGGAATTCCCCTAAGACTGTATACAAAATTTTGTGTCAGTGTGTAAATTCCTGGGAAGACATTTGTGGCTTTTTTTCAGATTCTTATAGAGCTGGAGACTGGTGCAGTGTCAAGTTGGACACAGAGTGCACAAACTAAAGACAAAGCATGGGAGGTGAAAAGGGCAAATGAACAAGAAAGACATTTAAAGATGGTGATGGCGGATGATGACAGCGATGATGACATTTATCTGAGAACCAGATATTTTTCTGAGCACTTTATATTTAGGAAATCATCTTGTTAAAACATGATGACTTCTTAATTCTGATTGTTGGACTAGGTTAAGAGAAAAAGAATGGCCAAGGTTGAGCCCCAGATTTCCTATTTGGGTGACTGGATTAATTTGGACCACCCCTGCCCCCCATCCTCCATCCCAAGGTAGAGAACACAGGAAGGAAGAGCAGATTTAGAATGGGGGAGATAATACAAGTTAGAATCTGAAATATTTGTGAAATGATAAAACAACTTCAGATGCTTTAAAGTAAACAAACAAAAAAGACACCCCCCACCAAAACGTTGCCGATAGAGCTAAAGCCATCTGTCTCTCATTTCTTTCCTTTCCTCCCCAGAGGTAATTGCTGTCTTGAAGTTGTTTGTATTCTATTTCATACCTCAACCATGTGTGTATGTTTCCTTTAGTAACCTGCTGTTAATTTTTTCCATTTAATACTGTGTTTTCAGGATTTAGTCATGTAGATCTATTCTTTCACTTCTATATACATATACCACAATATATTTATGTTTGCAAATTTGCCTGCTGATAACTTCTTAGGTTGTTGTCAATTCCTCCCTATAAAGTATAGTGCTCTAGTAAGCTCCTTGGTATATGTCTCGTTACATGTGTGGTTTCCTTTGGATATGCACCTGTCCCTTAGGGATATGCGTCATTCAGCTTTACTAGACCTTGTCAAATTGCTCTCTAAAGTGGAGGTAGCAGTGTGAGAGTTCTTATTCCCTTCCACTCAACACTTGTTAAGTTTATAATTTCTACCAGTTTGAGGGATATGAGATGGTGTCTTGTTAGTATTTAGTCGATTATTAGTGAAGTTGAGCACCTTTTCTAAATTTATTTTTGACATTTCAGGTCAATCTTAATATGTACTTTGCCCATCTTTTCTTTGGATTGGCTGTCTTTTTTTTTTATGGCTTATAGGAATTAATTATATATCCTGTATAATAATCATATGTCTGTTTATATGTGTTGCACGTATCTTCTTCCAGTCTTGGACTAGTTTTTAAAGAAATTACTTTTTTTGTCATTTGTAGTATGCAAATTTAAAATTTTAACTATCTTTATTATTTGTGTTTTTGTGTATTTTATGTATTTAAAAAATCCCCCTGTATCCTGAGGTCACAAAGATGGTCACTTACATGTTTTTCTCAATGTTTAAGAGTTTTGCATTTTATACAATGGTCTTTACTCTCTCTGGAATTAATTGTTTTGAATGGTGTAAAGTAGGGATTTAAATTTTATTTTCTTCATTAAGATAATTACTGAATCCCAAGCACCATTTATGGAATAATACATCCTTTCCCCACTGATATATGCATATAATACCACTTTTCAAATGTGTCAAGTTTCAGTATTATTCATGAGTCAGTCCTAAGTGTTCTATTTCTAAGGGACCTGTTCTTTCGTTCCTAATAAGTTTATAAAAGTCATGGTAAAAATATGTGTATACTAATGACATGTTACAGCATAACGAGAAATGAGTAGCATACTAAGTAAATGGAAGCATTACAGCGTTCCGCAGACTGTTTTTGGCCACGTCATGACATGACGGTACTTTACTATGTTCATGGTAGCATATAATATTGCCTTCAGATCTTTACTAGATCTGAGGACAAAGAGAGCATTTAGATAAAATAATTGATAGAACTTATTTATCAGAAAAGTTGTTAGGATTTACTCCCTTTAGTAAATCTTCATTAGCTTTTACTCTTTTTAAAGTTAGTTTTGAGCTATGAGGACATGATGAAATTTTTAAATAGGATTTGACTTTAATATTTTTTTCCTTCAGTTTCAAAGCCCAAGGAGTTATAGATGATGTTGTCAATGGTATAATGGACCACATACGCCCAGGTCCCTGTCGCTTGGATTGGGACAGCTTAATGACTTCATTGGATATTTTGGAACACTTTGAAGAGGTATTTGTATTGAGACGTTACTTCAGATTGTGTGTGTGTGTGAGAGAGAGGGAGAGGGAGAATGTGGATGGGAGCATGTGTACACATTGCATTCATTGCTTTGAGAATAAGTACCCATGGCAAAGATCTTACAGGGGAATCCTCGCTGCCTTTGAGAAAGCTTGAGTTTTCTCCTATTACCTAATGAGTGTTAGTCAGAGCTGAGTTTGTTTTCCACAGTAGCTCTACCCTTGCTGCTTAAGAAAATCATCAGCATCTTTGTTTATAAAACTTTACTTGAAGTTCTGAAATCTAAAATTCTGAAAACATCACTACTATGTTTAGTTTCCAGGTAAATTGTATGTAAGTTTTCTGTCTATATTAAGCCAAAATCAAAGACCGAATTTAAAAGTGCCACCTTAGGCATTAGAGAATTTTGTCAATGAAGTGGCTTCCTCTCTTTTTCTACTTTTATTGAGTTCTTGCCATGTTTGGATTCCTTTTTTTTTTTTTTTTTAATTATTTATTTGTTTTAGAGAGGGGGCAGGGAGGGTGAAAGAGAGGGAGAGAAACATCGATGCAAGAAACATTGATCCGTTGCCTCTCCTACAAACCCCTACCAGGGACCAAACCTGAAACCCACGCATGTGCTCTGACTGGAAATCAAACTGATGACCTTTTGCTTTGCAGGACAATGCCCAATCAACTCAGACACACTGGTCAGGATATCATGTTTGAATTTCTTTATTGAACCATGTGGTGCTTTAGTCAAAGTATTTGTGGATTTTATATTAAACACCTAGAGCCTACAACACCCACTTCCATGTTGAATATCGTACAGGATACAGAGATACTATATTGAATTAGAGATTTGGATATGGGGTAACATCTCACTGTATTTTGATTCTATATCCTCTTCATGTGCATACAGCAGTAGTGAGATTTAGAATAGAGATCTAAACCTGTTGGAAGCACTGTAAGAATCATTACTATTAATTATAATACATTTTAAGTGAGTTTTAGTTTCTTACTAAAATGAACCTATGATACCTGAGTCTATGTATGTGTCCCTATAGTAGTAACACCTGTTACCTTTTCTCGTTCAGAATTGCTGTGTGATGCGTTACACCACTGCTGGTCAACTTTGGAATATCATTTCCCCAAGAGAGTTTGTTGATTTCTCCTACACGGTGGACTATCAAGGAGGGCTTTTATCCTGTGGTAATGATCTCAAAACCTTATACTTTCTTTCAGTTTGTTTAAAATACTTGAGTTTTCTAGACTGATGTTTCTTTCTATATAAGATATATTTTCATAATTATTTATAATCACCAGGCTTTGTTTGCAAATGCTGAATCCCAGGAATTAAAATAACAATTTCAAGAAGGGTTCTGAGATCTAAGTTTTTATGTGTCCAGCTACGTGGTATCCTGTAGGCCACACAGCTAACGAACGTGGGTCACGTGACTGCCTCTCAGAAGGAGATCCAGTAGATGAAAAACAGCTTTTTAGTCATATAGATAGAAAAAAAAGTCTTGGTGTGTGTTAGAATATTTTTCCTTCCTTGAGTTGTGTAATATTCTTCTTTTCAAAATTAAAAATACTACTATTAGAAGGCTCCTGCTTTCTAAGGCAGTTGTAATTAAACATCTGCATGTTTATTCTTTATCAGCTAGTACCAAAGTTGCACATGGTACTACTGCCCGTGGGGAGTAGTGGTGGTACCAGAAGTTTCATTATTGGCACGTTGAGACCTGGATGCTACATCCAAGATTCTTAGTTTCCAAGTAGTTACCAAGATGACAAGATGTCATTCATTCTGAAGGGATTAGAACTTTTCCCCATTACTTCTCTAGCCCCCTATCAGAATTCTATCTGGTAATTATTATTATTTTTTCATTCTTCCGTGGGTACTCTTGGGGCTGAATTTTTATCTACAGGGATAACAAGAAAAATACTTAAACAAGAAATCTTATAATATTTTCATGAGAGTTTTAGACTTATGTCAGTCATTACCATTAATAGTATTATTTTAAAATTGCCTTACAGGGATAAGTCTTGACTGGAGTGAAAAGAGACCAGAGTTTGTTCGTGGATATAACCATCCCTGTGGTTGGTTTTGTGTTCCCCTGAAAGACAATGCAAACCAGAGTGTTTTGACAGGCTACATTCAGACGGATCTGCGTGGGATGATTCCTCAGTCTGCAGTAGATACAGCTATGGCAAGCACTTTAATCAACTTCTATGGTGATTTACGAAAAGCCTTACAAAAGGCATAATACGTTTAATCTTTCAGTACCATGGTTTCCTGAATCAACTTTTTCTCTTAGCTCCATGGCCTGTATAGAACCTCAATCACCCTTTCCTCTCTTCTTTATAGCCTGTAGTTTTTGGGTTATTTTATTCATAAAGTAAATAGCTATCAAAGAGAGGGCATTTTAGTTTTCTTAAACAGTTATTTGCACATTGTTTGGTATGAGTGTGTCTGAGAGTGGAGAATATGACAGGAATTAACCAAGAAGTAGATAAGAGACCCAAACTCTTAAGAAATTGAATAGTGCCTCACTATGAAATTTGTTGGCTGCTTGGAAATTTGAGAAAGCACAAGCTTCATGCTGTTAAGTGTAAAATAATCTATTTTAGAGCTTTATGGACGTTTTGTAAAAGTTTTAATTTTTTTCAAAAGTTAAATCTTAGTACTTTACTTTTGGTATGCTCTGTGAGTTTGCCAATATCTTGGACTAAAGAAAAGCGCTTCTCTATATTTTATAAAAATGAACTTCATTGTCAATTGACTTGCACTACTTTAAGTACTGAAAAGATAAGAAATATGAAAAGGATAGCTGCTAAAGTAACTATAGGTTCAAATCAAATGCAATTCAATTTTGATACCTAGGTAACATTATTTTGTGGTTATCTTTAAAAATATAGTTGTATGTTTATGTGTATTTGGGAGCCTTAAAACATTAATGCATGAATAAAACAGTACAAAAAAACCCTGCCAAATATGTGCTGGGGACACCACATTAATTGGGCCCACATTAATTAGTCGTGTGGGTCGTATGAAGTGGCTGGTGGTATCCTGTATCTAGCAACAGGGAATCATCTCTCTAAGAACAGTGGTCCCCAATCTTTTTGGCACCAGGGACCAGTTTTGTGGAAGATGGGAGCAGGGCTAGCAGGGATGCGGAGCCCTGGCAAGCCTCCCTTGCTTGCTTGCAGCTGCGGATGGAGCAGGCGGAGACAGGAGGTGGAGCTCTGGCGAGCTTCATTTGCTGCCCGGTCCCTAACAGGCTGTCGGGACCCTGGGATTGGGGACCCCTGCTCCAGAAGGTCAAATTCAATGAATGTTTTATATGTGTTTCACTTTTAAAAGTATTACTCAGCTCGTAAAGTATTACTAACTACTTCATAAATATTCGCAATTGTGATGTAATTTTTTGTCTGAAACTAACTAATGAGTTCAGAGATTTATCCAAATGCCTAGATGAGTCATTTTATAACTAGAATGGACTATAATAGGTCCCTCGATTCTATGGCTGCCTTAAATGAATATTCCTAAACTATTTTAGAATTCCAAATGACTCTGGCTTTTGAACTATCCACCTAGTTTACTTCTAAAATGAGAATTTAAGGCATCACAATGTGTCCGGGCACAACTTTTATGCATTTATGTTTGTATACATGCACACATCTTGAAATCTATTTAATTGTTCATTGTTCTTTTTGTGTTATTATTACTTTTTCATTTCTTTTTTCTTTTTTTCTTTTTGGTTAATATGGGGTAAAATGAAATCTGGAAACATGAGCCAGATAGGCCACAAAAAGTGCCCGAACCTATATGGTTCAGGCACATGAAGGTTGGATCTGTGTTTTACATTGTTGTGTTTTCCCGAGTGTAAAGAGAGCACGAGTCATTGTTCGTCAGACCCATTTTGATAAAGTGGAAAAAGTAGAGCTTGTTTTGTCTTTATTTTTATTTTTTTAATTTTTTTGCTATTAGCATTGGTGTTAAAAAAAACAACAGCAGCAAAAGGTTGCAGCACTGCAATATCCATGGTGAATGAGCTCACAGTTTTTAGACTGAAAATAATTTGTTTCAAGATCTGACAGAAATAATGCATGAATGATCTTATTTTCTTAACTTGAAATTTACTAATCAATATTTTTTCTAAGTTGACTGTAACTTTGAGTTGCTGGATTTCTCTCCCACTTTTTTCTTTTTGTAATATGAAAAGAAAACTCAGCAATTTAGTTTTTGGTTTCCCATGGAAATTGTTGAATGTTGATTTTGACTTGATGTATTCTTTTTCATTTGGTTTCGTTAGTGTAGAGTAGGAAGTTTCTTATATTCCAGTATTCTATCTAAGATGGTGATATACCAACAGATGTTCAGTTATAAAATGCCCAGATTGGGTAAAGGGATTTGTAACAATGTTGTACAGAAGGGCTATTATTGCTTAATTTAGGTGCCCCTAAACACAAATTAACTTCAGTTACTCTAATGTTTCCTTTGTCCTTTTCAACTTACACCTCCAATTAGTGATTATTACATAACCCACTGTTTACTGTGGACCTATTATAGGTGAAAGGACACTCATGGGAAAAGTTTTCATTGCAATATTGAGTCATATGGATTGAGAAATTATATTTGAATTACCTGAAATTTATATGCAGCTTCAAGATGGCACTTTAGATCTGCTGGGCTCTAGCTGTATACTTAAAAATAAACAGCTTTATGGAGGAATAATGTACATGCCATAAAATTGACCAGTCATAGGTTTACAATCCGGTGATTTTTGAATACATTTATAGTTGTGCAGCCAACACCGCAATCCAGTTGTAGCACATTTTCATCTTCCCAAAAGATCCCTTTGCCTGTTGGCAAATTCATACCTAACTAAAGTTGCCGGTGTACAGAGGACAATGAAAAAGATTAGAGTAGGTTTTGTGTTGAAGAGTAGAAGTATATACTTGAATCTAAGCTCAGGATCCTTGTGTTAATGTGTTAAAATACGTTATCTCAAGTACCATAATGATACAAAAATTAAACGATGGGGGCTGGGATCAATGAGTTCGCTGTTTCTGTGGCAGTGTTCTTGAACAGAAAAATAACGTGAAGCCATATGCCATTTAAAATTTTCCAGCAGTAACATTAAAAAAATAAAAAGAAATAGCTGGAGTTAACTTTAATAATTTAGTTCATTTAACTCAGTAGATCTAAAATATCATTTCAACATTAATCAGTATTTAAAATCATTAAGTACCTTACAATCTTGGTATACTACTAATTCTTTGAAATCTGGTGTATATTTATTTTACTAATTAGTACTAGCCACATTTTAAATGCTCATTATGCACATGTGGCCAGTCTCCTGTATTGAACAGCACAGTTATAAAGTATATTAATTTGTTGTTTTATAATATGAAATAGAGAATTCCATGGAATTACTCTTTAATTACAAAATCTTTTCTGACTTTTGAACTTTCAGGGCTTGCTAAGTGGGGACTTCTGAACATTAGAAATGTCAGTTAGTAGTTTTCATTCAAATAAAAATTACAGTCCCCTAAAACTTCCTTTAAAGATAACTTTTCTTAGGGCAGTTAATGAAAGAATGTACTCTGCTTTGTTGTTATGTGGTTGATTATTTTCTCTAGCCAATAGCTAGTTTGTATTAGAAACATGTATGCAGGACTACTTGGCATAGTACTGTTTTTAGTACATAGTACCTATTTTTTTAAGAAAATTAATTTCATACAAGAAAAAGTAATTTATCCTAAGTGATACTTTTGCATGAGATATTTGTTCTATTTGATAACTCTTGGTTAACTCTTGAAGTTTGACATGATAATCAGGAAAAATAATTATGAGAATTTAGTGTTCTGCAGTTATGTGTAATAGAAACTTCTAGAGTATTAAAGAGATTATGAATGTTAATAATCTCTATATTTCACTGTTCATTGAGGTTGGATATATTTGAAATTATAGGTTTCTATGTCTAAAATTATCTCCCACTATAAAAAGCTTTTGGGTATAAGTAATTCCTTTCGATATAGGTAAAAGTTTTATCTGTCTACTCAAGAACACACTAGCATCCTTAAAATGTGTTGTTAAAATCCAGTGTCTTTTCATTTAGTGGGTGCTGTAGCTCTCCAAACCCTGTGGGTAAATTAACAGAACCCAGGGAGGTTAGAGAATTGACCAGATTTTTGTTAGAATCTGTGTCGTATAATTACTTGTCCGATGTATCTCCTGCGCCTTCCTTATTCAGCTGCTAGAGGTAGGGGATGGTGGGGTCTGAGCATGAAAGAAGCTTTGGATCAATCCCAGAGCACAGGAACTTGACATTATACTTTCTTCATTACTTTGTTGTTTCCAAAGATTTTTACGTAAATAATTAAATAATTCATCTCTTGTAATTCAGTAAAAGCTATACTATATATAGATTTTATTTTTAAGCCATGTATAGTTCTTTTGTGAGCCAGCCTGTAAAACTAGAACCTTTATTAAAGTAAGAGCATGTGTTACTATAAATGTGTATGTATTTTTAATTGCTATGAAATATATCAGAATAAAATTTCTAGACTCTTGTAATTTATCATTGATGCTGTGTGTGTAAGTTGCTTTAACCTTAAGTACTGACAAATAATTTGATATATCTGAACTTAAAGTATACAATTTAACTTCCTGAACTCTTCCAAAACTATGCATATAAACTGGAAAATAAAGATTACTAATGCACATGCTAACCTCCTGCCAATGTCTCTTGTAATATGAGCTACAATACCTGTGAATCTGGATTTGCTGTTACATAGCCAGGATGGTGATGAATTCAGCCTTTATTATAGTAACATATGGACACATGTACTGTAATATTTATTGTACATGTTTAAGTAACCGTGTTAACTTGATTAGGAATTACAGTGCTAATTTTATTTGGAGTTGAAAAAAGTTGAAAGTGATTACAAAGAAATGCTTGGCCTGTTGTAAGAAAGCAATTATGGCTGTGGGAAGTATGCAGTAGAAAATATGACTATTAAATGGTTTAGACAAATAGGGAGGTATCTTCCTCAAAAAAATCTGGGTATAGGTAATTGTTAGTATTTATCAGCTCAGGAATTCAGGGCCAGTGATTCCACAGTTCCCCTCATCTTTCCCTCATAGAGGTGAGGTGACTAGCTGTGGAAATTATATGTGCACTCAAGGGAAGAAGTAAGGGAAGGTATGACACCACTCATCTGTCTTTTATCAGGAAAGCAAAAACTCCCAGAAGCCTCCAACAGCTTTTCTTCCCAGTGGTCTGGGTCACATGACTACTCCTAGCTATAATGATAGTTGGAAAGGCAAGCATAAGAATTTCCAGCCTATTGGAGAGAGGGTTGGTAGTGACCCTTTGGATAGACACCCAAAGCATCTCTCAGTGGATTAGCTCTGGGAAGTGTGTATAAGAGTCCTTCAGATGTCAACAGGAGAGTGATAGTCTCCCAAAGCAAATAAAAATAGCAGAGTAGTCATTTACTTCTTCATAAAACATTTACATAGATGCTCTTTATTGAGGTCGTGAGGTGATGGAGTTTCCTCCATAGGTTAATTAATGGGTAGTGTCACATGGCATCCAACATGAATGACCTATGTTTATATTACACCATGTTTCTATTCCTCTGGAGAAAAGGGTCCACTGTGGATGAAGGATCCTATAGACGGAGATGACAGAAAATTGGTAGAAAATGTGAGCTACAAGTATATCCCAGGAGTAAGAGAGTAGATCCACACTACTTGTGTTATTGACTGTACAGGTGATTTAGTAGGGTGTAATATTCATATAAGAATAATAGAGGAAGCATAATGTACAAGTACCCAGATAGGCTTTTCACTTGTTGTTTGGATGGTCTTTTCTTTTTCAGGAGCTTTAATGACATCTCTTAAGTGAGAGCTGATTTTTCTTTTATTAAAGGAAATAGTCCAAGAGACTGTGCAAAACTAAAAATAAAAGTGTTTCATGTAGTCAAAATGGGCTTGTTTTTCTCAAGTATTTCTCTCAACTGAGAAGTCATTAGGCTAAGTGTGTCTATTCAACAAAGTGAGAATTTGGGATCTAATGGTAGTAACAAGCAGCAATTCTGAAGGTAGGCTCTGCTCTTATTCCCTTCGTCTCAGATATTTTACTCAAATGCTTGCTAACTGATTGAGTGGCCAAGCTTAAGAAAGACTTCGAGATCTTTACAACTCATGCGACTAATAATCCCCTTCTTCAGTGTGAACGCGCAGGTTAGCCCCTCTCATCTTCAGGCCCGTTCAGTTTGAAAGCATCATCATGAAGTGACCACTAAATATCATTTAGTCCAAATAAAACTAATTCCACATTAGTGTTATCTTCTTAGGATTGATTTCCCCAAACACACCAAGGGCTTGATGTAATGTTACTGAGAAAAACAATGGAGACCGCACTATTATGCAGTTGTCCGAAATGGGAAGATTATGCAAAAATGCTTGTGCTTTAGTGCTAGGCTGATACAAACATGTTATACTATAATTACAAGTCTGGAAGAAAAAGTAAATTCAGGCTAAGAAAAGATAACGCTTGTCTGTGGAAGACGTTACTATGCTAATTTTCTGTATTTTCAAAGTTTAACAATGAAAACTCAGTGTTTACATGGATTGTTGCATTTACCTTGTGCTCAGTGAATTGACCTTCCAGAGGTGAGCCAATCTGGATCTGTTCTCCTGGCCACTAACTGTGGCCTTTTGGGGTGTCACATCTCTTTAACAAAATGACTGTGTTGGGTTAAATGATTACTACTAAGTTCCCCTCTTAACTTTAATGGTGTTATAACTTTTATGACATCACTGTATAATGTTTAAAAATGCTGTGAAACTTAAAGTATAATGCTATCCAAGAGAATGAGAAAACGTTCAAGCAATGATTCCCCGCCATATTTCGGATGTAGTGAAAATGTCCCTCATGTCCCTCTTGAATTGTGGTAACATTTCAAAATACAGAACGCAAAGTTTCAGTGGGCTTGTAGAGATTTATTATCATACTGAACATGCAGGTTGCTTTACAGATTTCCCACCAGCTAGATATATGCTTCTTGGGGCATGTTTTGACACATCTGGGTGACTTATACAAAGTAACATTGGCCCTCGCTAAGGTCAGGTTCAACAGTTTACCAACATCCATTTTGCCTTATGTTGCATACACTTCCTTTATGATCCTGGGAAAAACACCAAAAAATGAGCCTGTTTAGTCATTGAATCAAGTTATTCAACCTGAGTCCAAGCAGAAGCCACGGTTGCCTGTGTCTCTGATGTTGTCTGCCCCAGGCTGTGGGCTGCTGAGGCGCCAAGGAGTCTGCTGGGCCCCCTCTGGGAAGCTGGGACTCACTGCCAGTTGCCACCACTGGAGAATATGGTGGCTCAGTCAAAAGCAAACGGGCATGATTTTGATGAGTTCTCTACAAACTTTTTCTGTATTTACATTTATGGCCAGGTCAGGCTTACATGTTTACCTAAAAAAAATTCAATGTATTCTTTGTATTAAGGAGTCAGTAGCACCATTTTGACAAATTTAAAAAGGATATGTTCACTCTGGATTTCTTCACTCCTTTTTCGATACTTTTCAACCAGAAATCGGGGAGGTAACCTATAATCTTGGCTGTGTAAACTTAATATTATTATTTACACTTTTTTTCTTGTCCTCCAAGCCCTCTATGCACTTGTTTTTCGCTAATGACTTGCAGTTTAAGCTACTGGAGACATAGGCGTCCTGTATAGAATGCGATCCATTCATCTAATCCTCTATACTTCTCCTGAGATGCTTATATCCCTTTAGGCCAGTAAACTTTTGACAACCCAGCAGTACAGATTTCTCCTGTACAAAAAGACCTACACAATAACGCTACAAGAGCCTGAAAAACCCTAGTAGAAAGCACTCCTTTCTCAGCCTCTGCTAAGTTGTATTTTCTGAATGCTCCCAGTCCCTTATGTCTTCGCTTTGCTTCTATTCACTCAAATGATAGTCAACCTTTGTTCCTTCCTTCACTTGCCCTGAGGAGTAATGCAGCCATTTCCAATCGCAGACATGGTCCAAAACAAGTAAGGTGGCCCAACAGCGGAAAATATACATGCTGTAATCTGATTCTAATTGGTAAATATTAAAAAAAATTTTTTTTTTGAAGATGGATGTGAAATACTGCCTGCAATGAATGGTATAAAAAGGGATTTATAGAAGGGTTTGTAAAGGGGCAAGATAAGGGTGAAGAAGTAAGGACCTGACAGGATGAGCTTGATGTTTGAGGACAGTTGTGAACATTTTAAATTTCATCATCTGAGACTTAGCTTTTTTTGTACATGTTATCTTTTGAAGTCTAAACTTGCAGGTATAAATCCATCTCAACTCCTGCAGGGATTGCCTTTTCAGGTCAGATAATTTTTGAAGGGTTAAAATAACTACAGCAGAAGTAACCTTGATGTGGGCCTCCATTGGCAAAGCTTTAGGAAGCCGTTAGGCTACTTCCAGAGTCACAGAGAGTTATACAGATAGTGGAGTTTTGCATGACTTACTCAGATAATCACTGTCATTACTCTGCTTTGTCAGTGGAGATGTAACTAAGCCAATGCAGTCTTCGCTTCAAATGGTGACTTGCAAAAATTTCTTTACAGTCTTGAGTGACTTTTATTCTGCTTAGGGATGTGCCAGATTATCTGGTAGTGAAGTACGTAGGAGGTCACAGAGGGCTCGGTACTCTAAGGAAGTGCACAGTGTCTACCAGAATAAGAAAGGAGGGAGGAGGTCTGTCTAATTCAGTTTTGCACAAGACCGGAGTCTCTTGTGCAGACTTAGCAGCACTTCCCTTAGATTTCAGCCTTTCAACCTAAGATGTTCCTTCACCACTTTGCCTTGCATTTCTTCACTCTGGATTTCTCAGCCAGACTTGCCCCTTCCTCTGCCCTACCTGCAAAGACACTCTCCGTTCTTCAAATCCAGCCCATATTCCCATGAAGCTTTCCTTGATCATTCCAGGCAGAAAGGAGCTTTTTTTTTTTTCTTTCCATCCCTAGGGGGCTTACTCCCTGCGTAAATGTAGCACAGGCTATGTATGTATACTTGTCTCCAGCTACAAAGCTCACTTCTAGTGTAGCTGAATTCATCTCTGACTCCTTCATTGCGCAGAACTGTCTCAGTGAAAGTCTACAGAGAAAATGGGTTCCTAGGATGGGCTACCCCTGGAAGCTTCAACATTAGCAAATCATGTCCTTGAAGTGTGCTTGGAATGCAGGCGTAATATCCCCTAAACTCCACTGTTTAAAACGGTTCTGAGAGGAAAATTAGCTATTGACTTTGGTCTATGCATTTCTAAGGGAAGTAGGTGATCCAGATATTGAGAGAAATGTAAAAATGTTAATTTCAATACATTGACAACTGCCTTCAAACTGAGCAATTAAGATGAATGAGCATTAGGAATGTGGAATCGTAATCCACTTTTATCTTTTCCCTCTTCCATTCTAATTGCCTCCCTCCTACACACATCAATCACAAGGAGCTGGCAGACAATTGGTCTTTTTTCCTGAGTTCTACAGTGTGTCCCCGTGGTTGTGTTAATGGTAGAATGAGTGGCCAGAAGGGAAACCAAGGCAGGAAGGAGGGAAGCCCTTGAAATTCTATGATTGTCTCCACTACCTGGGAAAGAAAGCATTTGCAATTGTGTGCTTTCATCCCAAGGCCTCAAAAGCTAGAAAGGGCTCACAGTGCCCAAATGCAGAAGTACATTAACACCTTTGGGTATTCAGAACCCCCTCCCCAAAGCTGGTACCACCTTTACCTCTCAGTCAATATGTACCATCGTCAGTGCCATCCTGGCAAGGCCTCAGAACAAAGGACCGGGTGCACTTGCCACCCCAGCCTTTGGCAGCCCTTGCCCTGCTTTGCCCTGAACCTGTTCCACCCCACCCCCAACCTCAACAGGGCCTGTTGTCTTCCATGAGAACATACCACCAACACACCCTGCTTGCACACTAACAAATTTGCTGATCTGTAATTCTTTACATCGTTGGCAAGAAGAACCAGGTCTTTCCTGGTAACAGTTCCATCATATTATTAATTGCTGCAACAGTTTAGAGAAGACAGAATGTTATCTCATTAGAGTCATGGTATAATTTTAGGTGTTCCTAAAGCTGATAATAGGGCTTTCTACTCAATATCTCATTTGTAACCTTTGGCTGCAGATGTTCAAAGTCAAACACAAAGGTCATGCATACCTACATCTCTCAATATCTGGGTCTCCTGCTTCCCTTAAGGCAGATACTATGGAACAAATAATTTCTCTATGACGAAAATAGACTAAGAGAAGGGCCCTTCTTGGGTTTCTAAATATATAAGAACAGTAAAGGGAAGCATTTTTTCAAGGCCCCCTCTTTTCAAAGAAATGAAATTATAATACTCAGAAAAACATGGGGATTGAAAAGTAGCCTTACATAGACTTACAAGACTTGCCTGCTCCCTGAGCTATCGATGAGCAAGTCATTGTCACAGAATGTCACATAACATGGCACATTATTTCCTAAAAATGATTAAGTGAAAATCCAATTGATATAAATTACTTGCAAATATTCTGAAGGATTCAGAACCAAAGGGCTCTCTTATTTCTTAGCTTACTAAGTAAGAGCTCCAGATTGACTTCAGTGTGAACCAATACCAGTGTAAGATATCATTTACATGGTTTTAAATGTAAGGATCAAATTTCTAAAACATGCTCAAAGTGCCAGAAATCTTTTCAATTACTCTCTCACCCAAGTCACTTCATAGTCTAAATTTTTTTTTCAGGAATGATGCAATTTTGAATTTTTAGTTCCTTAGGAAAATTTTGCCCAGTTTTACTTCCAGCACAAACATTGTGGTGAGACCATCTGCAACAGAAATAAAGCTCCCCTAACTTCCTAAGAAACAAATGGGAATAAGAACCTCAAGCTAAGGAGAAGAAATCTGGAGCATGGGATTCTGTTTTCCTGCATGTCACCAAAAGGCATGGAGTACCATGAACTAGGGTTTTTTGTTTTTGTTTTTCATTCAATTTTAAACGTAAAGGGTCAGATAAACATTTTAGGCTTTTCTGGACCATATGGTGTCTGTTGAAACTACTCTGTACCAGAAGCATGAAAGCAACCACAGACAATGTATAAATAAATGAGAATGGTCATGTTTTAATAAAATTTTATTTAAAAAAAAAACAGGTCTCTGGTGGATTTGGTCTGTGAACCATAGTTTGCTTAACTTCTGAAAACTGATCTTTGGAGATTTAAATTTATTTCCTCAGGCATTTATGTGAAAATTACTTTTTAAAAAATGCACATATGTTTTATATGTATATCACAAAGGCCATAGATAAAAGGATGATTGGCATTCAAATAAGAAAGAGTATAAACAAAAGCCCCTAACTCCTTCCCTAATAATCCCTTTCCCTGATACTGTGAGTTCACGGGGCATAAGGCATCACTTACACCCCGTCTACTGTTCCCACTCAGTGAACTCAGGGAATTTTAAAATTTCAAGGGAAACAGAGCAATATCTGTCAGACATGGAATGCAGTTCTATTATATCGTTTGGACCCAACTACCTAATAAATGGGCATGTTAGGTAATTCTTGTGGCTTTAGAGGGATATGACGGTATTACTGAGACGTGTGAATAGAAACAGCTTAGGGACTTCTGACATAAATAATAACCTTGACATTATAAATGTAGATGGAATTGTAACTCATGAATATGCTGTCTGAACCTCTGCTACTGCATAATGCCTGCATGATAGGCTCTGAAATAGGTCAGGTTAAAGGAGGCAGTTAGGAGATGACAGTTTTCAACTTACAGTCATACTCACTTGTATCATTTACAGATCAGATTAACTACTATACAGGTATCAAGGAAAAGACAAAGAAAGAAGAAACCTAGTAAACCGTTTATCATCCACAACTGATTGTCAGAGTGAGAGTGCTTAGGAGAAAAAACAGCTTTCTTTTTTCTTTTCCCTGAAAAGACAGAAAAACAGCTTTCAAAAATTCTTACGTGATCCTGTTGCACTCGAGTAGCTTGAAATGATCTTTTAAATGGACAATAAAGATTATTATTTAATCTTACTGAAATGAAATATCTGTCATCTTTAATACAATGAACCCCAGCAAATATTCCATGGATATAAGTATTCCATATTTGTGGATTTTCCAGGTCAAGATATTCACATCAACATTTCTTCAAAACGTGCTAAAAAGAATGGTGTGATTTTACAGTTTTATCACTTCTGTTTTGTTTCAAACTGAATTCTGGGCTACCAAGGGCCCCGCATTTCTGCAGCCAGCGCAGGAGGCTCCTTTCAGGGTTTTAGAGAGGATTTCACAGTCCTCGAGGGCGGCCTGATGGCCAGAGAGATGGAGTGAAACAAAGATCTGGGACAAGTGGTAGTGAACCAAGGTATTGGGAAGCGCACATGATTAGTGGAATCCCATTTCTCAGTACGGAGTAATGGCAATACACCGATATTCACCAGCATCACTTTCACTCGGAGCAAGGGAAGAGGTTTTCTTCCACTTGGCTCACTTGAGCTGAACCAGGTCAGGTGCCTGGAGTCTTCTCTAGAGTCATGTCTGGTTCCTGGGAAGGAGTCGGGTGGTCCGTTGTCATGGGAAGACTTCCATGCTGCCCTAGGTGGACCCCTGGGCCAGGTGACAGAGAAAAAGCTGAGAGTTGAAGGAAGTCCAAATCAAGCAATCCGATCCTCTCAAGTATATCACAGGCATTTAGGAATTGGAATTTTAAACAAGGAAGCATAAATTAGTTGTTTGTTATTGCTCTCCAAGGCAAGTATATAAATGGTTGGAATTTGTGAGCTGATGTGAAATGAAATATCCATCATTATCATCTGATGTCAGGTGATATCTGAAAGGTGTAGTAATGACAAAACTTGGTCCTTACCATATCAGAATATAGAAAGAGAAAATGCTGAACTTGTTTGCCATGGGTGGATAGCTGATATCTTTCCCGTGGTCTTTTATTTTTTTCTTTTCCCATTTGTCAAGGAATCAGAAAATTCCCAAGTTGTTTCAGGGGAAGGAAAGGACTTTGAAAAAAAATTATAGAGAATTATTGGGTACGTTTCTGCTTATCATGGGGTTATGCATATTGTACAAATAGTGAGATTATATGTGCATAAATGTTTAAAAAAACACTGAAGACACACACAGAGTCTAACCAGTGTGCAGTATTTAACCAGGAAGTGTACAGATGTTAGCCATAACCCTGATCAGAAACGTATCAGCGATGAGCATTAAGAAAATTGGGATATGACCTAATAGGCAGTAATCACAAGGATTTAAAATTCTATTATGTAGGTAAATGTCTGTAAACTTTTCACCTTCTAAAGTAGTACACTGAATACTCTGTAATGACAAGTAAATTACATAATGGCATTGTAATTATGTAATTGACTCTGCTTAGTATATTTATGTCAATTATATGTGGAGTTAACCTTCATCAAGAAAAACCCAGTACTGATTCACTTTGTTGACTTTTTTGTTTCTGCATATTTTTGCAAGAACAATCTTAAAACAGGATAAATAGTTTACTAACTTTGTTCTTTGCCTTTTCTGGCATTTTTAATTTTTCCAATTTGAAATGCAACCAGATGCTTCTGTGAAAAAAAATTAAATTATGAAATTATGAAACAAAATGGCTCTCTCTAAATCTTCAGTGTGTAGGCAACACACACGCCATTACCTTGCATGTGAAATTGGGGATAAGGATTGCTAGACATGCTAAATTACAAAATATGTTTAAAATGCTATGTAATTGAAGACACGGTAAAAGGCAAACTGTTCTTTCTTTTTAAGTCTGCCACTAAAAATGGCTATAGAACCTTGAGAATTATTTTAAAACAGCAGTATGTAAGAAATATCCAAAAGTCTTTCGAATGCATGTGTAATGGCAGGTTTTCTAAGAAAACTTAAAAGATGCTGGCTGATGGTCATATGCACATTTGGAGGCTCTTATCCTCATTGCGCGACCTTCATCATGTAAATTTGGTATGTTTGAGTAGAATTCTAAAAAGAACTACTGTCTGCAACACAAAAAAGTTGCCAGTCTAGTCCAGGCCTACAAAATCCTATTAAGATTCTCTGTGCAGGCCTTCCTCAATGGGGACCCATGGTTCACCCACAGTGAATATGGGTCCACAAGAACACTACGGGCTTCATGGCAGCACTAAGGAGAGACCAGCCGGTAGTCAAGATTCCAGGGCCCAAAGGGATGAGAGGGACTGTGGCCAGCAGACAATTTAGCAATGCCCAGGAAAGTATGGTTCTCTAAAAGTCATGCTGGGAAACACTCCTCTGAAGCACATGAATAAGCAGAAGTGGTCAGCAGAGGCTTGACTTGTTTCAGTTTATGACATGTCTGAAACATTTTCCTTTTGGCCTCCTACCAACACATCCATGTGGAAAACTGAGGCAGCTGTAATCTAAGCATAGAAATTCATGGGTCATTTTCCTTAAAAAATACTCTAGAACAACGCTGTTCTAATACAGTAGCCACTAGCTACATGTAGCTATTAAGCACTTGATTTACTAAAGGTACAACATATACTCCTGATTCTGAAAATAGTATAAAAATAAAAATTTAAAGTATTAATTTTTCATGTTGATGATATGTTGGAATAATAATTTGGATATATTGGATTAAAATAGTTAATTGTATCTATTTTTTAAAAAATAAAAAGTCGTGGCTAAGAGAAAATTTAAAATTACATATGTGGCTTGCATCGTATGTATATCAGAGAGCACTTGTTCTAGATGATAACTTTTATGACTGTATTATTCTAACTTCTACCTTATTTACGTAATCATGGAATGAATGAGCTCTTATAGTTTGGTCACTGGGATTCCAATTAGTTTCTTTGAAGGGGAGAGATGAAGATTGCTTTCCTTCATGGTGAAGTAGCCTAGGTTATGTTGTATATCTGAACTTATCTGAAAACAAAAATCAGTAATATAATATGATAACTGTCAGCTCTAAAATGCAAAACATAATTTATTGTTCTTTGCAAAAATTTCCTTCAGTCTTTTGCTTTAAATATAATTTGACTGTTGTCAATTAGGGGTAACATTGTGAAGTAGTATATCAAATTAAAGCTTTATCTGCTTTAGCCAAGTAATTATTTAGCTAAGTAATCTTTGAGAAAAATAATGTATCTCCTTTCCATAAATATTATATAAATGCTTGCTGTTCTTTCAAAACATTAACTCAGTTATCCTTAGGTTGTATTTCTATGATTTTTTTTTTAGTCTCTTGGCTGGAATGACCAATTTTTATGAAAGTTTGACTTGTTTTCCACTGAAATGACTAAATTAGCCACTATTTAGGCATTATCAGGACCTAATCTTTAACACAAGTCAAAATTTAAAACTCTCACTGATTTTTTAAAGAGTGCAATTTACAGATTAAAAACAACAACAACAACAAAGGAAATTACCCTGACACCCTCAGGTACTCACCAAGGAACAGGCATGTGTACTCATTTAAATAAGTAAAACTCTTATACACATGTTGGCCTTGGCATTTACAGTGTTATCCTCATAGTCCACAGGGCCCACCACTGAAGTCAGCCCTGAGTGCTGGAATGGTAGAACTGTCCTTGGAACAACATGGGCATGGGCTGGGAGGGACAATATGTTCTGATCTTTCTAATTACCACTCTCTAATAAGAGCTCTTTCCCACTCTTCTTCCTGTTTGTAATGTACAGGGCATTTACTGTATATACCTGTTAAGTCTCACTGGGGAAATTATATCAACTGATCTTTTTAAATGAAAGTCTTAATGCTTAGTAAAAAATTCATTCTTAATGGTTAAAAATAGTGAGCCCCTTATAATAACTAAAATGGAAATTTTGAGAGAGAATAAAGAAGGACAGAAACACAGAAGAAAGTAAGTACTCTCTACTAGTTAATAAAATAAAACAAAAAATAATCTTCCTCTGAGCCCAGATGATGTGACTTAATTAAGGGCCCTATCTTCCATGTCAGTAATCTGTCAGGCCCCTGAAATATGAAAGACAAGAAATCCTACCTTGCTTTCTTCTCTGAAGAATAGCAGGAAATGAAGATTTGTGCTTGGAAAGCAGAAAGCCAACCCAGGTTCAAGTGCCCCCAGAAACCAGAGATTTCATTTCATTTTCCAATTTAATTGTGGTGAGGAAGAGGCAAAAGAATTTAAGATCTCTTTTTTTGGATGAGGATTTTTATGTGATAGTCATTTTTCTTGTCTATCATCTTGTATTTTGAATATAATTCTTTTTGAAATTAAGGAAATATACTAAAATGTGATGTATAAAGATTTCATAAAAATTTTTATTTCATTTCAAACTAGAAATAAGTCTGAGGTACTTGGAATTTTAATGATTTCTATAAGGAAAGAGTGTTTGATATGAAAATCAAAGAAATATATTTTGGAAAAAAATCATAGAAAAGTATCAGGTCTAATGTTACAGCTTCTCAAGTCTGACTTGAAATCAGTGCTTTTTTCTTTGTTTCTTTTTGTTTTTTAAGGTAAATAAAAAGTTGCACTGTCCTAAATTGACATGAAGACTTTCTAAACAACATTGTGAAATGTGGGCTTCTATTCCAAGTGTGAGAAAAAGATATACTAGCTTTTCAGAAATATCTTTAGTTTATAAGCAGTATACCTAACTAACAATTGAAGTGGAAAAATACTTTATAAACAAAAATTTTCTTATTCTAGTAAAGTCAATAGTGAATGATCTTTTATTGGAATACTCTTTCTACTCTATTCAGACATTTTGGCACCAGCCTGTGGGTGGATTTTTCTAAATATTTGAAACTCAGTAATTATAGACTTTATCTATAAAAATGCTCCTATTCTTAAAGTTGTACAAACTTATTAATAAATCCAATTTTATTTGAAAAATGACAAGGAATCAATCTGTTATTCTAATTCCTGGCCTTGTCCTAGTCTTACCAGCTTTTCTTCCCTAAAATTCTTTATTTCTCCCTAAGTGTTGTCTATCAGAAAGCCATCTTACTAGTAATATAGTTTATATAAATAAGGACAAAATAAAAAAGCATTTTTCACACAAGCTTTGGAGCATATGGTTTCATGGCCCTTAAAGTATGCTTCAATTTCTTTTTTTTTTTTTGCACATACCAAATGTGAATATATGTACACAATGTATAACCATATCCTTGTAAACAATTTGAACACATGATAAGTAAACTATGAATGGCACAGGAACACATGTCAGAGCACTGCCTAGTACCAGCTGAGGAACAGGTCAAAGGGATGACCAACTGCCTTGTGAGGAAATTGAAAGAGTATAGGATGGTTAGGTTTTCAAAGCAAAGTAACTTTTGTTAACATTTACTTCAAATGTGTGCTATTGGTCCCTGAAAATGCATGTTTTTAAATGTTATGTTGTGTTTACTTGCAATTTCAAATTTAACTCATCGGTATTAGGTATCCATTACTTACCATAGAAGACACTATTTTTTCATAAAGCAGTCACATGCATTGAAGTTAGGATTACCAACTGATATATATATGTATTTTTTTGCACCTCAAAAACAGATTCACTATAGTGCATATCATGCTTCCACACCTTCCTTGCTGAAGGACAAAATGCATCAAGTACGAGGATTTGGCTTCCTGATTGGGAGGAAGCCAACCTAGTACTCTGGCAGGATCACTTCATTCTGCTGAGCTCCAAATCCCAGAGCAGGGTTTTCTTGCCCTTCTTTGGGGGCTGCGGCTTCCTCCACAGTCTTCAGCTTCTCCTCTGCTGGGCCTTCCTCCACTTGTGGGTCAGCCAACTTGATCCCATCCTTCAGTGCCTCGGGCACCGTCTTGGTGGCCTCTCCAGCATTGATAGCAGCATCTTCAACTTCCTCCACGGCCTGCACCTTCACCAGCTCAGCCTCTGCCTTCTCGGCTGCCACGTGGGCCCCATCTCCCTGAACTTTCTCTTCTTCTGGAGCAGCTTTAACATCTGCACTGCCATCGTGGATTGGAGAGGGCTCTCGGCTGGCCTTCTGGCCCTCCTGGATGCTGCCGTGGCTACTGCTGGCGCTTCCCAGCCGGGAGGAGGCCACCACCGCCTTCACTGCTGCCTGATTGCAAACAGAACATGGTCAGGTGTCACCTCCACTAAAATCCCACCTCGGAGCTCAGTCTCAACTTTGCATTCAGGGAGTTTGCTTTATATGTTGGTGTTTGATCTTTCAAAGTATTAATGTACCAACACTGTCATATGAAAACTCATTTGCAGAATAAACAGAAAAATCTCTTTAATCTCAAACCGGTCCATGCATTTAGTCATCTGGACAATTAAAAGCTGAGTAAATGGGTTTGTCCATGGATTATCGGTTTTCAAAAATGTTAGAATGTGTTTCCCAAAGTAGTTGTTTCATGAAATACTAGTTCCATAGATGTTTAATAGGTATTATAGACATAAAAGAGTTCTATGCTCAGATTAATTTGAGAAATCCTGGGTTAAGTCAAGGTTATTAAATACAGGATATTTCAGATTTAGCCATGAGACCCTTCAGGTTCATTTAGTATCAGCTTGTAAGTGATGGCTGAGTAGAACACTGTTTTTCACCCCTCAGCTGTTCTCTGAGATCACTGTATATATAGCTAGTCCTAAACATCATTATGTAAGAGAAAAGCACCTAATCTCTAGTCCATATATATTTTATCAAAAGATATTTTTATGGATAATTTTCTGTATCACTTGAATTATTTTAATTTTTACCAAGTATGGTCATTATTTATATTACAAAATATGGTCTTTAAAGATTATTTCCCAGTGTTCATGTATTCAGGAAGAAGAAAACTTTCTGAATAGTTTCCTGAATAATGCTACTTAAGCAGTTCAGCCTTAAGTAAATGAGAAGCAGTGATAATGTATTTGGTGAGTAAATGTCAACATGTAACACATTTCTCTGTTTATTAACAATGAATTCTTTTGAGAGGATAACGTAAGACTGGAAGTGGCTTTATACCAGTGGCGCCGGGATTTCAAAGTAAGATTTTGCCTGTTACTACAGGAGATGAATAATAGTATTAGATGAAGAATGGTGGAATTATCTTTGATAGTTCAAGAGAGACATCTTTTAAAACCAAACCAAAACAAACCAAACCAAACCAAACCAAACCAAATGAATGCCATCTTACCTTAAGTTTGCGCCGAGCATTGAATTCCTGGAGCTTCTTTTGAGCCGTATCCATGTGTACAAAATTGGCTGCTTTACCTGTCACCCATGGGTGCTGGAGAGCTTGGAAGGTAGTCAGCCGTTTCTTAGGATCCAAAACAATTAATTTCCTGACCTGAAGTGATAAGAGCCATAGGGGGATTTTTATGGTGACTCGGGCTTGCCTCTCACCTTGTGAACTTCTAGGTCTTACTCTGTTTCCCTAGAGGTACCATTGACTATATTTAAAAACATTGTTTTAAGTGCTGAGGTCACTTTGGGTAAGAATGGCTTCCGGCAGCTGTAGCTGAGGGAGTCAGAGAAGGCAGTGGTGTGCGCCAGCCACCGGGGAGCCCGACTGTCGGACAGCTTTCCGGCACAGGTCAGGAGGCAGGTGCTGGCTGGCCTGGGGACTGACAGCACTTTGAAGGAGAACCGGCATCTGACCAATTCTAGGCTACACTTCACACCGCTTAGAATTCAGAACTTCAAATGCATCTGTGGAGATGGAATCATTCGCCCATCCATCATTCTTTTCCGTGGGGATTATATGGCCAAAATAAAATAAAATAAAAATAAAAATAAAAATAAAAATAAAAAAGAGAGAGAAAAAAGGATAGTGTCATAGCCTTTATGATTGGGTAAAAAAGCCTATTTAGAATCAAAGTAAAGGTGTCAGTGGCTTGGGGGCATGATTTGTTTAAAGGACTGAATTCTGCCAATGGCAGCCCATTCTGGGAGGTTCCCCTCTGTTTGTGAGGAGAGCAGAAAATAAATTGCCAGGAAGATCTACAACTCAAATACTCCCTGGCCCTGGACTCAGAAGGGCTGACCTGGAGTGAGTCAGAGGCTATCGGAAGTCAGGAGACATGTTTAAGTCCTGCTTAATGTCTCTAGCTCCTTTTGTGACCCTGGGCACAGGCCCACATAGGAACTGAGTGCCTATGGACACTCCCCTGGGCTGTTTTGTCACAATCTCATTCCCTTTGAAAAATCCATCCTTATATACATGTACATGTTTTAAATGCATATACTCTTTTCTATAACCTTATCAATTCATGAAGGAGGGACAGAAGGAAGCTCAGAAAGATTTAGTGACTTGTCTAAGGTCAGACAACCTGTATTTGGAGGCTGTATTCAAACTCAGGTCTGTCCTACCTCACAGCTCTGTGGTCACCACACCGTAGTGGCTGACACGCAGGCAGTCAGCTTTTCTGGCCTTGTGTCTGCTCATGTGTAAAATGAGGAGCTCTGAATGATTCAAGGCCTGAAGTCTTTTTTAATACTAATAACCTAAGAAGAGCGAAACACAGGCTAACAGAATCAGGCAGCATGTCAAATGAAGACTAAATATCTGGTTCGCCTTTTACTTCTTTTCTGTAAAATATGCAAAGAAATGTGTGTTTGAGATAGAGACACTGAATTTTTAGAGGGCAGAGACATAAGAATGCTTAGGCCTAAAATCTGAGAGGAAATGGAGGAGGTACAGATGACTAAAAAAAACAAATACACAACAGTAAGTAAAAATCTGATAGTAGTCTTAGCAATCATCTCTTGAACACATGAATTAATACTTTATGTAAATGATGACTAATCATTAACAACATCATTTATGATTAGATTTCACTCCCATTTCCCAAGCATTGTTTCACTTTTCTTCATCATTACCATCCTACTCTTCATGAAAATACAAAGAATTTATTGAAAGCCAGTGGGTATTGAAAATTTTCATATGACAGCATTAACCTTTATATTTGAAGTTCCTGAAGCACTGAATTGTTCAGAAACTTGCTGAAGGTCCGAGAGATCCAGGGACTTTGTCAGGATTCAAACCCAAAGCCTTACGGGTGTCCCGCTCTTACAGCCTGACTTCCCTACACATTGGCATTGTCACCTCGCTGAGAGCAGAACAGGTGTGGGTTCCGTTAATAAGTAGGCATTCATGGGCTCAAGCGTTCCTTTAGTTCTGGAGTTTTATAAATTTATTGGCCAACAGGATTTAGCTAAATGAAGAAACATCACTGTTAACACTCTTATCCATTTAATTTTATTAAAGATGAAAAGGAATGGAAGGAGGGCCAAATAAAGGAACCATTATGGACTTCATTGGTGGTCCTTAGGTAACATGTATTATATCCTTTAAGCCTCCCAACATCCAGTGTCATCCTGCATAAGAACACTAAAGCATAGAGAGGCTATAAAATACAACGAAGGTTATACCTTTAGGTTACAAGAAAGGGGGCACTGATCTGAGGTGTGTGAGATTTTAGAAACCCATGGTCTATTTCTGGATTCACTGTTTCATTCAGTGAACACTGAGTCTGGACTATGTGCCCATAGGGCACTACGATCTGGGCACACAAGCTTTGTCCTCTTCCAGAGTTTACAATATAATTAAGGAAGGTTTTTGAACAAGTAAATATAAGCAATGACTATTATGAAAGAGGCAGTCCAGGTGCCAAGGAACAAATCTGTTGTAGGAGGAGGGATTGCCAAAGGAGGACAGACTGAGCCTCCCAGAGGACGTCAAGCGGCAGCTAAGACTTGAAAATAACAGTTACCCATGTAAGAGGCTTACGTGTGCGTGTGTGTGCGTGTGTGTGTGATGGTGGGGAGGAAGAATGGAGAAGAGAACATTACAAGGCAGAAGAAAGAACAATGGCCCCTATCCGAGCTACACTGATGAGGTCCTGGAAGTCGGGCGCACCGGAGTGCAGAGAGACCAAAGGAGAGTGATGCGAAATGAGTGGTATGGGAGAGGGGGACAGGCTCCAGAGCAGGCAATGTTGTCTAGACCTTGTTATAGACCTTGGATTGTATCCTAAGAGCCTTACAGCAGGAGAGTGACACGATGTGATTTATTCGTATGATGACCATTCTCCTGGGTCCTGTGTAGAGAAGGGCAGGGGAAGGGGCAGGAAGACCAGACAGCAGGCTGTGGCAGTGGTCCAGGGGGTCCGGGGGTCCAGGGGGTCCAGTGGCAGACGCTGGAGCTTGGATTGGGCGGTGGGGGTGGAGAGAAGTAGGTAGAGTCAAGGGCTGTTTAGGAGTGTGGGGCCTGACTGGAGGGCAACGTTGGGATGACACTTCCACGTGTCGCACATCCTCCTTCACTTTCCGGCCACAGTGCAGGAGTCATGGCTTACAGGGGGTCTGTCTCACAGAAGAACATGGATGGTAAGGAGGAAATGTTTGGAGGGAAAAAAAGCTTTGGATAAAAGGTCTGGAGACTTGGATTGCTGGTTCCAAACAATGACACTCTGCTGGGAAACGATGTGACCTTGGATAGTCATTTCACTTTTCTGGGCTTTAAAACATTCATCTTTAAAATTAGGGGAAGTCATCTTAGATGACTCCTAAGATCTCTTGAAGATCTAGGTGCTGTGATCCAAAAGTTAGCTTTTAGTAATTTCTGCATATTGATGGAGAATATTTTAATCGCATGCTAGTAGCCTCTTTATTTTAGAACAGGTAGGCCACTTCCCCTTTCTTTTCCTGAATGCGAGCAAACTTCAATATTAGCCTAAGTGACAAGCTTAGTAAAACAAACCAACCAAAACAAGAACAAAAAACAAACAAAATGCACTGTTAATACAGTGTAACTTGTTTATAGTGCCAATGATACATGATGGGACTTGTTTTGGTAGCAAGATATTTTAATAAGTTTAAACATTTCAAGAAAAATGTTGTTTTATTTGAAATACAACCACATCTAGGTAATAGCTAGCCATGTTAAGACAGAGTTCTTCTGCATAAATTATGTTTGGATTCACCCAGCACAATCTGCCTTCATAAGCAAGGCTCTACATTGACTTGGTGGGAAAAATCATTAATTAATACTGTGGCAATTTTTAATTTGTGATAACTCAGCTAATATATTAGTTTTCATTGTTTTATTAAAAATACAGTTATAAAGATGTAAGATATTAAGGGGGACAAATTTTAAAAATGACACTGCCCATTACTTAGCTAAAAATGAACACAAGGGATTTTATTTCATTTTGTTTTTGTTATACTCACCAAGTCCTTGGCATTTAGAGATACTTCATCCCACCAGGGGGAGATAAAGTAATATTCACAATTCAGAATTCTCCTGAACATAAACTGATCGCCTCTTTCATCATAGAATGGTTCAAATCCACAAAGTCTGGAGGGAAAAAATATAGGGAATAAAATGTCTTTAAAAGTCTAAGTATATTTCACCAATTTTTTTTTGTAGAAATTCAAGGCTTTCCTTTCTCACAGCTTCCTCTTATGAATGCAACTCTATTTAGCCTTATTATAACTCACTTTTGAGTGTGTAAACACAAACTTAGGCTTTCAAGAAGTAGGTATAGATACACAACGGATTTGGGATTTCTAAAAACTGTTATGATAATGTTAATAATTATATCACAAAAACAATAACAATAGCTAACCTGACTAGAGGCATTGTGAGAATGGCTTTCCATGAGTTTTTTCACCAGGAATTGAGGAGACAGAGATTGATTATAGTTCTAATTTATTACAAAGTAGAAGAATTAAGGTTTAAAGAATAAAGAGATTAAAAGGTGGAAAAAAAAGATTTTTCAGTCGTTTTTGTTTAGCCCTGTTCACTGAATTCTTACATATAAACGAGTAAAGTATTAGATTTCCATCTTATTGCAGCTTAGATTTCAGAGAGAACAAAGATAGGAGCTAAAATTACTGTCAGAGAACAGCCTTTAAAACTTCATACGATGAACAGAGAGATGCAACCAACAGAGATGATGAGCAGCCTAGAGTTTCCTCCACCTTGTATGTGACCCTCATTTTTGTATATTGCACAGATATTTCACTATGTTCCCCTTTATGTTTTGCAACAGGGTCAGCATAAAAATAGAAAGGAAAAATGGGAAAAAAGAAACGGAGGACCATCTGTGGCTTCCTAAAGTGACAGAGGAAACGTGAGCTCCTGGTCTGGGACCATCAAGCCTTCACTGTTCCTAGATGGGTAGAGGTTCTGAAGTCACTAGGAACCAAAAGACAATTTTTTTAAAAAGTCCCTCCCAGGGCATGTGTTGTATTTGACAAAGAATGGGGGGAAAAGAATGAATAAGTTAAAAAACATTTTCCCAAATTCTTTCTTTAAGCTGCCAGGTTGGTGCAGAGCAGGAAATGTTTGGGGGCATCCTAATGTAGTGGGTTTCTTGGAAGAAGCAATTTCTCACATCTTTTTGTTCAGGGAATGTCCCATTGGGGAGAGTCTTTGTCTTTTTCAAATATCCTGGAGCCAACCAGGAAAAGGCAAGGTCAGAAGTGCAGAGGCCCAGGCCAGCGCACCCACCCTGTCCCTGCGGTGTCCACCCGGAGGGTCCTGCTGCAGCATCAGGAGAGAAGGGAGTGCGTGTCCACAGCTGGACGAGGAGGCAGCTCAGCCTCACCTGGCCCTCCCCCACCCTCCATAACACTAGAAAAATATAGCCTGCTATTGGTTAGGCATGAAGAAATTAGCCAACTTTCCAGCTTTACTTTAGGGAATTCTTGCATTTGCCTTCTGGAAATCTAGAGAGAAAAGTGACAGTTCAGAAGGTACAGTACTCAAATGCCTTTTTTTCATCTCAATCATTTCAGCAAATTTATGCCTTGGTGACAGGTAATAAGTTTGTCGTGTCAGCCTGAAATGCCAAAAATGAAAGAAATGTGACACACAGCAGACTGTGTACTCACACATTCACACGCACAGAACAGAAACCCTTCAGAAATGGAAATATTTGAATGCCAACAAGGACAGTTTAGGAGGATATTAGGATTATACAGGCCTGAGGTGTGAATAATACAAGGTAGCTCCAAGCCATTGGCAGAACTGCAGTGGTGGAACCTGAAGGACAGAGTGTGAATCTCTGACGTTACCTGATTCTGACTGTCACCTGAGTATTGAAGCAGTTGCTTTTGTCTATGGGAACAAAGGGTTTAGGTGTAAAAGGTAGAAGGACCGGAATTCCTGTGAGAAACAGCAAAATGGCCTCCATTTCCAATCTACTGTTGTCTTTAGAAATAGCAAGGTGATAACACAAAATGAATGGCCTGGTGGAGCTTTCAATAATGTTCAGTAATAAAGGAGATGCATATGTCCAAGGGCACATTCCACTTTAGAAAATGTTCCAGTGAACATTGCCTGGTAGACTTCATCAATTATTAGTGAACTACAGATTAAATAAAAAGTCCCCGGGCCCCCTGGCAATGGGCAAGGAGACACCTGACTGGGGCAAGGTAGACGCACAGTCCTTCGTTCACTCTAGCTGGATGCCTGTCTTGGTGGCCAGAGCTGTTTCATGCCTACGTCACATTAAAAAAAAAAGTCCACAGGCTGACAGAGGTTAGACCAGACCAGAACTATTAAGGAATTTAGTTATATGCAGCATTCTTATTTTAATTGGGGGGGGGGGTTCCTAATGCTTACTTTCAACCACTGCCTATTAATTAATGACCTTAAGTAAACTGGGGGGAAAGACCTTGATAGCCTTTTAAAGTTATTTTTAGGGCTAGAATAAGATGTATCCCAAATGATCAAATATTTTTCTATTCATTTTCCCATGTCAGTGATCATATTGTGGAGTTTTATTCATTCCACATATCAATTTTACAGGGTGAATGTAACTTATGTTCCTACCTCCATCTCTCTGAATTCCTATACATCTTTAATACTTTAACCCCTCCCATAACTTTTCAGTGTGAAACTGTAATTAGGTGGGCATATTTACATTTTAGAGGCAAATCTGAATCATCTGTGTGGTTCAGTTTTTCACTTAACATCACTAGGTATGATACGTCACCTACATACTTTCCCCAGTATGAAAGTGATCTCAAATATAAGATGAAGAATTCTATGATGTGGTCTTAGGAATCCGTTTTAATGAATTAAGTACTTAGTGTGGCAAACAAAAATTACCTAACAGTTTGCACTTTCATAAGAAAAAAAAATGGTTCTCTACTTCTCCAAATCTTCTGAAGCTTTAGTACATTCAGAAACTACAAGGAACTGATTAATGAAAATATATTTTGACATTATATAATAGCAGATGGCTATTTTATGGTTTGCCTGTTAAACCATCTGTCTTGGCTACTGACCAAAGTATATACTCAGAGTTTACTAACTTGGTGGGGGTCCTACCTCAGTTACCCCATGCCTAGCATGTTACTTAAACACTGCAATTTCTAAGGTCACTATTAAATTTAAAAAACAAAACCTTCTTTCTCCCATGGACTTTCTCCCATGGACTTTCTGTGTTCCCTTTCCCAATTCATGTGTTAAAGCTTTAACCCCCCATAGTGATGGCATTTGGAAATGAGACTTTAGTAGGGAATTAGGGTTAGAGATCTTGAGTGTAGAACCTCATGATGGGATTAGTAACTTGTTAAAAAGAGACCACAGAGTTAGCTACCTCTCTTTGCCTTGCGAGGACACAGTGAGAAGGTAGATTGCTACATGTCAGGAAGAAAACTCATCAGAACTCTACTGGTACCCTCACCAAGGCCTTCCAGCCTCCAGAACCGTGAGAAATAAATTTCTGTGTTTAAGCCATCCAGTCAGTGACATTTTGTTATGGCAGCCTGAGCTGACTAATACATTTTTTTATACCCTCTGAAATCTTTTTATGGATTTGAATAGTACAGGTTCCAACAACTAGCCTTGCAGTTTCCTCTAAATGGCAACCAAATCTACTTGTTTAAATTCTGGAACTCGTTGACATCTTGCTTTTTTAGTTGCTTCAGCCATCTTCCTCCACAGACACCCTTCCATCATTCTTGCTTATTTCCTCATATTCAATTTCACCGTCTCTTTGGCCAGTTTCTGGCAGCCCCTTGTTTGTCAGTAGTCAGGAATGGAATTGGGGATACCAGAGAGTGAGAGATTTAGGCCATAATTTTTTCAACCAGAGAAAATATTTCTCTGAGTTTAGGGTATTAAACTTGAGGTCCTTGAGACAAGAAACAAAATTGATAGCCTAAATGCATTTAAAATATTTCTGATACAAAAGGTACCAGTTTGGGATTGCTCAAATGATTAAACAGCTATTTGCCCTAATTAATTTGATGTGATGCAAATAAGTAAAACAAGAGTATTTTTAATAGGTGAACATGAGTTTTACATTATTATTACCAAATGTGAACTGTTTCCCAAATCTGCTTTGCATTGTATAGCAGAATGAGACACAGAAGCACTCTGGACAGAAGTTCTGACCCCCCCCCCCCCAAATTACAAAATGGAAGGAAATGCCCATTTTCAGAAAATTCTATGGCTAACTATATTTAGTATGTCATGGAAAATCACAAAAAGTCAAAAAGTACTCTTGCTTTTGATGAGGACAATGATTATCTATAGTTATGAGAAAATATTACAGTAAAGCCAAATAGTTTGCATAAAGATTGCTTTTCTTCACTTACAAGATGTAGGTGATTATTCCTACAGACCACATGTCCACCTCAGGTCCATATGCGCAGCCTCTAAGAATCTCGGGGGCTGCAGGAAGAGTGAAAATTATGTTAAACTGGAGTTTAAACTCAACATTTACATTTTAATAACAAGCAATGGGGAAGAAACGAATCCATCAACATCAACTTTAGAACAGTTTTATAACCAATCTTCTCTCCCCAAACCAGAGAATGAGGCTACAGAGTCATATGTCTATTTTAATGGGAGAGTTTACAGTCTCTCTGTGTTTGCAATGCATAAAAAATAAAACTATTAACTTTAATATTCTGCATCAGAACATCATGATAATGCTCAAATGAGAGAGAGAGAGAGAGAGAGAGAGAGCTCTGTCTCTGCTACAAAAGATCCCTTACTTCAAAGGAAGCTTTGTACATAGGAAATAAAGAAATGAAAGCTTAGCGTAGTAGGGGAAAACAGGCACAATTATGCTACCTAGGGAACCAGATCTGCTTGGAGCTCAGGCGCCCATGAGCATGTGTGCTTGGCAGTGTACCAGCCAGAGACCAGGGCAGATGGTGGGAAGGGCTGGAAAGTCACAAATGCTGAAAGGTTGGAATAGGAGCCGGAAGGGGCCCTGGCATATGCCCCCGTATGGTATTGAGAACTACACATGGGTCCCCAGAGAGCAGCTGTCCCCAGTGAGTTTTGGATTATGAGCTGAGAAAGGAGGACTTCTCTGTGTGTAATGAGGCTGCTCCTATTAGCCCTGCCCACACTGTGAAAGAGGAAGGCGTTCTCAACCACAAACTAGCCCTGTAGTATAGAATTGTGAGGATTCTTTCATATTTCTATTACCTTGGAACTGTGAAAATGGAGAGTTAACTGAGTCCAGCCATTTGCCCTGAGGATTGCTGGTATTGTTGGTCTGCCTTACTAACAAAGGCAGAGAAGCTGTGAGAGCTCTACTGCCCCTGCAGAAAGAGGGCTCAGGGCTATAGCCCAGAGTGGCCTTTTTCTGTTTTGAACAAAAGTGCTGTAGGTGTCAGTGGGGTCCCTGGAGAAAAAGCTGATTGATGGATGGTGAGGGCTCCATGAGGGAGACCTTGGGGACAGGCACCACACTCCTCCTTCCAGCTGGGGGCAAGAGAGCGAGTTGCACCCCTGTCCATGTAGGCTGGAAATGTCATACTGTTGTCACAGTGAGCTCCAGAAGGAAGCTGTCCTCATGGGACTCTGCATTTAACTCATAGGAAGAAATAGAGTGGCTTTTCCACTGACATATTCCCATACCACTCCCTTCTCCCCATCCTTTTCCAATCAGGATATTCTTGTAGGAATTGTGCTATGTAAAATACAGGAGACGAAGAGCCGGTATGGCGAAATGGGAGTGTGCATTACAGCTCTCTGAGCAGCAATCCAGCAAGGTGTACCCTTTAAGGAATCGTATCTGGGGCCAAGTAGTTTTTCTCATCCATAGGCAAATTATTCCTAGAAAAATTCCCTTTTAAGACTTAATTAACATAATTAAGGAAAATGCACGCTCGATGCCAACACCATTCACTCTGTCATGTTGGCTTTCATTTCCCAGAGCAATCTGTACCCCACAGGCAGTTCCTTTGGGCCCCAACAGCCCCAACACTGAACTCCCACTCACAAATGCTTTGCTCAGCATAGCGCATAAGACACTCAGGTTAGGCTGCCACTCTCACGAGGGTTCCTGCTGCCTGTCTTTGCCTCCCAGAGCTGTTCCAGTCAGGGAGCTGAAGTGCACCATGCGCATTAGGGAGCTTCCTGGCTCAGGTCTTCAGAGCAGTGAAGCGCTACCAAGTCCCACACTGCCATTTAAACTTAAATACTGGCATATGTTGGGGAGAGTCTTTTCCATTTTCTGGGTCTTGGTTTTTACCTCCAAAACCTAAGTGAATTGGGCTGGCTTTTTTTTCAGGCTAACTTTGAGTTTTAGCCTGCAAGCTACTGCGATATTGGTAAAGGGAGAGTCACTGACAGTGTGAGCAAGAGGAGAGGTCAAGCGCTCTGCCCACAGAACCTGCTGCACTCGCATTTCCCATGCCAGGGCGCCTTCTGAGCCTGCTGTTCTGTGCGCGCCTTTCCTGTTGGCCCTAGCGAGGTCAACCCTCCCATCCTCTGCTGTCTAGAGGTCAGCACATAGTCACAAAGGTCAGGTGTTTTCTCTGGCCATTCTTCATAGCTCCCGGGCCGAGAGACCCAAATAAAGTGAATATCATGGAACAAAATTCTTTCTGAATCTACTTTTTAGGACATCTGGATTTCTTACATGACCTGGTAATGTCTGACCTCCCTTCACAGCACTGGATGCAACATTACTTTCCAGAGACAATTTATTTCCTTGTAAGCATTATGCTGCAATGCGAGTAAACTGTGGTGTGAAAAGTTAAACTTTCCACCATGAGGCTGAGAGAAAAGGAATATAGAATGTTTTTTGTACATAATAAATTTCTCTTAAAATATTTTTTAAAAGGAATTTATAATATTTATTAATCATAATATAAAATTTGGGTGAAACAAACTCAAAACACCCAGACACAATTAGATACCATTCATACTATCTTTTAATATTTTCAATTACTAGTTAATGTGAATTTGACTTCAGAGCCAGAACATACTTTTGTAATTTACTTGAACTCTTTCCAAGAGTCAAAGCTTTCTTAGAATATATTTTAGGCTCTGGAACACTAGAGCTTTAAGTCTCCTACGTTTCAAATGTTCTTGCAGGTGATTCTACAAACTTGTGATTTTCTTAGAGTGAGAAATAGTTGACCACTTCCAATTTAGTTCAAGATAAGGTATCAACTAGTCCACCTTTTAATGCTATACACACATCTGGCTATCCTTCATATCATTTCTCACCTCATTGCCAAAACACACAAACAAAATGGAGGAGGGAGAAAATAATTTCAAAGTGTAATACAGTTTTTTAGAATAAATTTAAAATAATCTAGAGTTATTTTTTCTGAAACAGTCATTAATGACTTATTGATTTTCCTGGCTATCTTCTAAGTGGATCCAAATTTTCTGCCACTTCCTAAAATTACCTCATCATTCATGCTATTGCCCATTGTACACTAAATACTACAGAGCTCCTAGGATAAAACATACTCCAATCTCCAATACAGAATAATTTTGGTAGTTGGCTTTCAGATTGCCAAGCTACCAGGCATACTTTTTAAATAAGCAATTTTAACTGAATATAAAAATTATATAAAAATTCTAACTCTAATTATAATATTTATTCAGCAGACCTCACAATGCTGTTTTTTTAATAAGACCATGGTACAATTAAAATATCTAGAGACTGAGGGTCCATGTAGAGATAGGAGTGAATGTTGATTTATTGAATAAAATCACTGTAACGAGGTCTGGAAATGGTCTTAAATAAAAAGCATCAGCTATGCCCTATGACACACAGGGATGATCAAAGCTAGGTTTTCCCTCTTTTCCTAAAGCCCTAGGAGAAAAATAGAGGATGACTTTGGTCCTTGATTGTACCTTCATTTTCTCAGTGCCCTAGATAAGCTTTATGATCCCTTTCTACCTATTGAGTTAAAACTACTGAGTGGCATTCTTTATGAGAGAACTTTTCCAAACTACTGTTAACTGTTTTGAGAAAGACACATCCAAGAGAGACTAAGGTGAATGAAACAACAATGTCATCCATTCGCTCATTAAATAAATTATGAATGACTTATTAAGCATCTGCTGTATGGCAGGCAGTGTTAGGTGGTACTGGGGGAAGAATAATGGGGAGTTAAAGAGAACAAGTCTCTGCCATGGCTGGGCAGGTTATGTTATGGTGTTGCATACATTTGGCAAGTACAGGGCACAAACTTTTAAACTTTGTCAAGTGCAACTGTTGTTGGGACAGCAGAGAAGAGAGACAGTGTTGAGTGCAGTATGCTAAGTGTTATAACAAAACTGTGGATCAGACTGGGATACAGTTGAGATGTCTCCAGAGCAGCCTTGCCTGTTTGCTTACTGCAGTGACTCTCAGAACCTATCAATTCTACGCATGCCATGCTTGAAAGGGTGCGAAGGACTGCAGAGGCTTTGAGGCCGCCGTCACTTTGGTTATCTATGACTTGTTAGTGTGGATCAAGGAAAAAATTTTATGGATATTTTTAAACACAAATGATATGTTTTATGTTCTAACTCATCCTTTCCATTTTCCTGGGCTGTCCTGGTCTTCTATACTGCAAATATCAGTCAATCCACTGCTCAGTTAATACTTTTTATGTAAGGTATTAAAAAAAGTCTTCTGTGCCACACGAACTGTAGGATATTTGTTTTTCTATAAATCTTATAAATGGGCAAAGAAAGATATCTCAGGACAGCAAAGGAATACTATCTGTTGAAAAACTGCCTTTCCATTTTTGTGGGATGAGGTGGATTATAAATAAATACACTTAATAAACAAATAACTCATCCTAATGTTAACACTATATAAAGATCTGTCTTGTATATGGTGATACAAATATAAAGTAATAGAAATGGACTTAGTTTGGAATTCAAACTCTGACTCATGTGTTAAGTATGACAAATACTGTTTTTATCTAAAGAGGCTAAGAAATCTTACTGACAACTATCAGTATTACTTTTCTTGAAACTTTTTATTTTATTTTATGCATATCTTTTCTTTTTGTAGCAACATTCTAAAAGGGAACATTTGGCAGGGTGTTCAGGGCCCAAATAACATATTTTAAGCAAGTCTTCTACCCACTTGCCATCAATCACTGCTTCCTTTTGACCCCTTTCCCTCACATCATTCCGCCCGCACATATGTAATAGCAGAGCTGAGCCTCCCATCACTGTGAATTCTCTGGCACGGTTGGTTCTACATTTAAAATAGTCACTTACAGTTACAAAGAAGTGGTGCAGAATATGATTTATGGTATGGAGAGCCAGAAGGTATAGATTACCAGGACCTTAAAAGATTGTCTCCAAACCAAAGAACAGAGAAAGAGAGGATATGACATTGGTGAGAATCTCTTCAGACTGAATTTTATCAGCTACCTCAGGCTAAATTATATTTGGTTAGCTTTGGTTTAACT